AATTTTAATTGATATCTAAATGTTAAGATTAAATATAATTAATAAAAGTATCAAAATTATTTTGCAGTACTACATTCAGTGTTTACTGCTTAAGAATTTTTGAAATTGCCGCCCTTTTCTTGTGACACGTTTCGCTTGCCAGACTCTATTATCTGCTTGTATTATATTCCCTTTTTGAAGTAGTCCCTATATTTCACCTAGATTAACTACCAAATTACTAAAACCTGTGTTCCCTGTGGATGTTTTTCGTTTGTGGAATTTGTTTATGTTATGGATTTCGTATACGAAAAATATTCACAGAAAACATTGGTTTTAGCAATTTGGTAGTTAATATGAAACCCCAAGTATAAAAGTAAGTATTTAAACTTCCCGCCATACTACTTGTTGCGGAGGGCTGACTATAGGTGGAGCTAGTTTCTATGGATAATATTTTTCTATGAAGTTGGCATTCTTCTGGTAGAGTATTATTGTTCTGTGTTTATTGCATTGACATAAAAGAAGAGGACTGGCCATACCTACGAAAAAAGCGTATATGCCTAAACTTCAAATGAAAATTCTTCGATGGCGGACTGTCATAGGGCGCGACCCATGATATCGATATTTGTATCGACATTGAAGTCATATTAAATAAAAGTTAGTATTTCGTGAAACTGCTACAATACTACTACTTATTAAATAATGTAATATAATTTTCATTGTTAGGGGCATGGCTAAACTGTTACCTATTACACTTCTATTCATTTCACACTGACGTACCAATCCTATTTATGATTATTATTAATTAAATTGATAAATACACGCCAGTTTTAAGAAATTATATTTTGTTAAAAGTGGCGTGAATTTATTAATTATTTATAAATCATTAAGCAATCTTCTGCTCGTATTTTGTTGGACATCTAAAATTTCTTGCGTTCTTTGTTCTTGCGTCTCTGTTGCGTCAGTATATTAAATATAACCTGTGTTACCAGCGTATGATGGCGCTTCCCACGGGTAAAAGATTATTCGTATTCCAAATTTCATCAAAATCCGTTCAGTAGTTTTTACATAAGAGTAACTAATATCCATCCTCACAAACTTTCACATTTATATTATTTAATAATATAATTTTATAAAATGATTGTACCTCGATAATGTTTCTTTTTCCTCTAAAATAGCCAATTTTACATAGTTTTAAGAACTATAGTACCAAAATATATAACTTAAAAGTTTTACAATAATATCAATTGTGTTTTATAATTATTTTCATATATATTGTCAAGTTGATATTTTGCAATTATAATTAAATAATTTTTTTAACTAGTAAAATTTTGCATCCACGGGAAGTGCGACTACTGTCCAAGATAACTACCACGGTAACTATAATAAGCTTTTAATGAGTCGATTGACGAATGAATTATTATTATTTTTTTGTCTGTTATATATTTTTTATTGTTTTGGTGGAAAGCGACATTTTGGTCCAATGAAGTCATTTTTTATTTTTCAGTACGAAATTAAACAGGGTGCAAAAGCAGCCCTTGCCGTTTCTTACCGGTTCCTTTCTTGCAGTTTCTTCTTTTCTCGGTACAGGGTTTCCCGTAATAGATTGCCGAACTATAAGCACAGAGTTTCGACTTTCTTATATGCTTGTAACTAGTAAGCCAACTTGTCTATAAATTTATTCTATAAATTGTTTTGACTGAATAAATTTCGCTTACTCCTCAATAAGTGAGATACCGTGCGTACTGTGTCACAATTTTAGTTCAGAACATCTTGTTTAGTAGTAAACATAGAAAACTTGAAACACCTACATAATCTTTGTATTATATTATTTGTAAAAGAACATAAAAATACTGTAAACTTTGATGAATAAACAAGAGAAAATAAAGAAAACAAAGTTGGTGATGAAAAAGTGATATAATTTATTAAAGAAGTAACAATTGGCATTTTATTTAATAATTTGGTTAGTAAAAAGAAAACAGCCGATTAATCTATGGGCAAGCATACAAATATTTTCTCAGCACTAAAACAGTCTGCAATTCATGTTCTGTGAACAATCATGATAACGGCCAGCAATTTAAATACAAAAAGGTAGCGTATTTTATGATGCATCAGCAAAATAAACATCCACGCCGCAAAATAATTATTTGGGTATTAAGAGTATACTATTGAACAGCAAAGAAAACCTTTAACTATGCCTTTAATTTGATAAATGTGCATATTTTAATTTATATTAAATTTATTTAACTCATTTTATTGTATATTTTACTGGGAGTATATTATGATCAGAATTTTATATTTTAATATTATTATATATTGTATTCTGATTTTTTTCAATTAAAATAGTCGTCATATGACCATTTATAGAATAACAAAATGATTTATTTATTTAGTTTTTTAATAAATAAATCAGTAAAATCAAATGAAAATTAACTAAGTGTAATAGACATGGTTTTTAAATAAGTTAAAAGCAATTATCAAAAATTCTTACCAGAGTATTTGATTGGCAATGCATCATCTCGTAATTTTATTATATTTAAAGTTCGATTCAAACAACTTTTCCTAAAATGAAGTGAGCAGATAAAAGTAACTTTTTCATTACATTTAATATTTTCTGCTTCTATGTAACTCGGTCATTTTCCTCTTTTGTTTCATCTTTTGGTAATCTAAAATAATTAATATATTTTTAAATATTAAAATTATCGATATAAACCATATGTTAAAGTAACAACACTAGCCATGTAAACAATATTATTTACGGACCGAAATATTATAAAAATATAAACGAAAAGAGCAATATAGCATAAATAGAACACGCCAAAATACGATATGTATCGATTTATACACGCAATCATTTTCAGAATAACTTACTTACGTTTTAAATACAGTTATTCCAAGAAAGTGTTTAACTTACCGGTGAAACGTAATATTGCTCGGTTTGCGGGATATTGATGACGCACAACCAATTATACAGCACCTAGGCTTTGTTTTTCATAAATAATTTACAATTTTCTGCCATGAAAGTTATAAATGAAAATAACCACAAAACTTATAACACTGACAGCTGAACTACTTCCGAGAATACGCACAGCAAATTTGCAAATGGCTGACAGGTGGTACGATAGCTATATCTCATGACGTCACGTAAAAAATTTTGAACTGTCACACTAGTGTGATCTTTGTTTACTAAAGAAACTTCTTATTAGTTAAAAAAAGACAACATGATGTTTTTGATGTCAACTTCAGATTGCATGATATTTATATAACCATAGAAAATATTTCCACTCTACCTTACTCTATGGTTTATTGCGCACTATAGATGTCTGTTAAGCTGGAAACAAATTATCGGACGCGGCTGACGGACGTGGCTGTCAGCCGCGACTTATAGGCATCTAGGTAATGAATGTACACTAAGCTGTTCAGACTATCGGATGTAAGTCGTGGACGTAACCTTGGGCTGGCCTTCAGCCTTCGGACGTCCGACAGGAATCTGGCTCGCTGGATGTTTTTATCAGCCGAAAACGTCCGCGGACAGTATGCAGGGGTACGGGACGCGTCCTTGCATCAGAAGGACGCTGACGACGGGAGAAATTCCACGTGTCCACGTGCGTTAAAAAGGAGGAACGAATTATATAGTGTGTTCGCAACAAAGAATTACTTTATAATCCTAAATTGAAGGATTATAAAGATGTTATAAAAAAAAATATAGGAGTACGAAACTGTGTTGATTGTTTTTCAATGTCGTTTTCGATTAGATTTAGCAAAAAATTGAATTGATCCTCATTCATTCTCAAATAAAGTTTATAGCGACATTCATCTCTTAATAATTGTGGATACAAAGTGTGAAATTCACCACACTTTATTTATGTCATGGACCCAAACGTGGACGAACTTCTTTTTATTTTCTTTCTGGCTGGACGACATAAAGCTGCTGCCGCTAATTCGAAAAATTCGTCCTCACTTTCATTACTCGACATGTTTCTTCGTCAACAGTTCTTAGTGGAATAGGCATCGAAACATGTCCGCAAGCCACGTCCTTGAAGACTGTGCAAACTTATAAGTCGCGGCTGTCAGCCGCGTCCGTCAGCCGCGTCCGATAATTTGTTTCCAGCTTTATGGTTGAGCGTGATTGGTTATAGTTATATTGGAGCGTTCTGATTGGCATGTTTAAAATGCAAGTGTGTGCATATGTTTTGTATAATTGGTCTGATATTTCGTCTGATGTTCGGCGTACTAAAAGTGGGGCAAGACTGGCGACATCGGTTTTCGTACAAAGGATGCATGATCGCCTTTCTAACCTCATTTCCGTGTGCTGTGGGCGGAATCGTGTAAATGCAGTTAGGCCTTAAATTCATAAAGAAACAGAAGAACATGTTTATTGTCTTTGACATAAACGTCGCTCACAAACGACTTCATATTAACTCTGCCAAATAAAAAGTTTTATTTTCTATTTGTTTCATTTTTCTCATTTTAAATTGGTTAAAGTTAATATTCTTTAATTAAATTTAATTATCTTGTAATAAATCTCTCAATTTACTGTAAAAAATATACTTAAACAGGACGGTAGCATACAAATTAAATCTTTCTGACAACTGTATTGGTTTTTGATTGATAAGTCGTTGAGTGATTCATCGCCATCTTTCATTCATTAATTTTCTATTTACATGTAAAAATTAATTTGTTTACTCGACATTGGCAGAATTGTGCGAAATGCGCAGGTAAGCCATTCAACGAGGAAGTATTAAAAAAAAAACATTAGTTCCCGTTGCTATAGGTCAATATTTCCACTCTTTTATTTTCTATGCGCGGCGTAATGGTGGCGAATGACGGTGTTATTCGCGCGGTTTCAAAAATTCCCCGAAAAATTAATGTCATGTGCTTATTATTTAATAAATAATAATTTAAATCTACTTTTCAAATGCCCTATTGATGAAATATAACAAATGGAACATGTTTTCATCCATCCTTATACAAATACATACTCTAAAACCTTGACATGCTTGGATAGAATTATTATGCATAAAATTTATGAGACTAAATATTTATAATTTATTACAATGACTAAATGTTTATACCATCATGCCACTGTAAACTTTGATATTCTATTTTTTCACTACTATTATAAAATGCTAAAACAGCTAATTTGTTGACAGCAACAGATAATCTTCCAAAAGCTACTAAATTAGCAGGACGAAAAGATGTTTCTATGTCTTCAATACAGCGTATCATATATGTAGCATGAAATTTAACAGGATCACCTGTAAAAAACAGAATAACAACATTATATTGCATGCAGGTTAGGTAAACATGGCGGCAAATGAGTTAGACTATGTGCCTGGATACGTAAAACCACATTTTCGAGTCTTAATTAGGGGTGGTGAAATTAGAACTTAGCGTGTGAATTTACACGCTAATCGTAAATGATTAATCATTAAGTACGATAAGCGTAATTTTTTCATGTATTTTTAAAAATCGTTTTTACGCAGTCGGGTTTTTTGTTTTTCTTTTTGGATATATTTTTTATTTAATTAACTAGGACCGCCAGTCGTGTAATTTAAGCATGGCAGGGGAAATGGGCATGATGTAGCTACCCCTAGGTGAAAAATTTTTTAAGATAGGTTCAGTAGTTTCTGAGCATATACGATGTATAGAGCATAGATGATATTTTTGTATTTTTTTTAGTTGATATAAAATTGACATAAAACCTTCGTTGTGTGAGATTTTCGAGTGAAACTTTTTTCACATGATACCTATGAGGTTCTTGTTTAAAAAATTTGCAACATTCGATTTCGCATTGCAAACTTCGACTTAAATACCGACCTATATGGAAAATAACCCACACGGGTGAATGAAAGTCAATCCGAGTCAAACTACAGGTATTAGCGGAAACTTACTGAAATGCCAAGCTTTAGCAAGCTCTTGAACAATTTTATCACGCACCTCTTAAAACTGAATCGAAAAAACGGCTGCGGCACGGAAAGCCGGCGGCCGGCAGGCTGTGTAGTTCTACCATTAGAATGAATAATAAAAAAAAAAACTGCCATTTAAAGTTAAGCTAAACTAAGGGATGTTCTATAATACTCATAATATTGTTACTATGTAGTCGTATAATTTCATAAATTAGCACAAACAAAATACGATCTTACCTGGATATACCAGAAAATCTGAACCGAACTTCAAACCATTTGTAATGTGATGACCTTTAGCCCATAAATCTTTAAAAACAGAATAGCGGAAAGTACCATTCTTATCTTTAATACTAGGCTTCAAAACATCTATAGAAACTGTTCGGGTATCTAAAATAAAATGATACTATTAGAACCATTACAGATTCAATTTATGAAAGTATCACAAATACGTAACAAATATTATTGATAATAATTAATTCATATTTAAAATTACAAGATTTTTATTATGACTCCTATTATATTATAAGAGATTTGATTTTACGTAAAACGGAAAATATACTGAAATTCATCATTTTTTTGTTATAATTAATACCTTTTTTACTGAAGAAATGATAAGTACGTAACTTTATAGGCGAGGTAATTATCCAGCAGTTTTACAATTATCATAATAGTTTGCAAGTAATTATATGAATTAAAAATCTATTTTGCCGCACAATTGGCTATTCTATCTATCTCATTGTCGGGCACAATATTAGTACCACCAATATGTTCAGTAAAGACAAGACACTACTGTCATTTTTGAATTTTTTATGAGTTTTTTTTTTTTTATTAATGAAAAGTATTTCTGAAATTCTTATCTTTCTTATAATTTAAATATGATTTCACTACCCAAACAGTAATTTTATAAAAAAAAAATCTTTACAAACGAAGGGGGATCAAATCGACAAGATCCGCTAAAACATTTCTTAGTGGTATTCACTTTTTGGGTACAGACACGGTTTCTGGATATTTAATAATCTAAGCTTTTAGAATACCTGACAGCTTAAAATGTTCTGCAGGTAAATGAACAAGGAGATACGCCGGAGATAATTTTGGTAATCTGTTAATTTCTTCTTGCAATAACATCTCCTTGTCCAACTGCCCATCTAAAACGTAAAATGATGAATACACTTTTACATATGATTTTTTAACAACCAAATCAATGTAAGCTGTCTCAATATTATGTGATAAAAAAGCATTATGGATTCTAAATAATATCAAATACGTTGTAACTGTTATTCTGTAAAAAGCAGCTAAGCAGTCTACTTAATAAACAAACTTTATTAGTAGTCCTCGCTATACGAGAAGTAACACAGCTAACATCTAAGATATTAACTGCGTAATTCTCGTATTAATAAGTAGTAGTTTAAGAAAATAAAAAACTAGAGTATATATTTTTCCACAGAAATAAATCGATTTTTATGAAAAATCTAATTAAAATAACTATCACTTTTGAATTTGGTGCTGAAACGCTATAGTCTTATCGTAAACGTTCGCGGCATCACTGCGTCACATATCTACCGTAGTAAGTTGAGGGTTGTCAGATTTGATTTGATTGACGAAATCACCGAACATATTTTGAAGGAGCTTTAAATTCAAAGAAAGCAGAGTTCTGTTCTCTTCGTTTGTTAATACATATTATTTATCCAGTTTATTTTTTGATACAAAAAATATATACATATTTTTTTTTATTTTAGGCCATATTGATCTGGTAACACTGAAAGTAAAGTTAGGGAGTTATGATGGCCCCAACTGTTTCAGATCACGCGATTTTAAACTCAATGAGTTAAAAATATTTATCTTTGCTATAAACATGTAGGTCCTGGGTAGCTAGTAGTAGTGATTAGAGCAGTCGCCCGGATTACGAAAGGTCGTGGGTTCGAGTCCCATCTCTGGGTACCTGGGACTTCTTTAAGCATTTTTCATTAAGATTATTTTCTAGTATCTCATTGTGGATGCAAAATTGATCAAATATTATATTTATTTTTATTATATATTCGAACTCCATAAATAACCTTCAGACAAACCATCATCATCCAATTGTTTTGTGACTATAGTCCCTATTACATAACTTACAAATATCTTCTAAAATTACAGATTTTAAGCCTAAAACTAAAAAAAAATACCTGTTATGCCTTTTGATAACAACTTTTGCTTCTTTCCTGCCACTATTATGTCTAACTTTTGTGACATCTGTTCTATTCTCCTTTTTCTCAAACCCTCTGTTTGCTCCTCTATTACTCTAAAAATAATTGAAGATATTTGGTATCAAAATTTGTTTGTGAAAAAAAAAATCAAAAATTGTGCAATGGTTGGATTTTAAAAAAATAATATACCTATGTATTTAATGTCACATATGATTTAAGAAATAGTTTACTCCTATATAATAAGAAAGATTACCTTCTTCTGGCATCTTAATAGTTTGATGTATTGAAAACCCTGTTTGATAGGACTAAAACTATTTTTTACATGACTGCCCTAAAAAGGAGTATATTGTGTGTAGGATTAATGTACATAATGGGTGTGTGTTTGTTTATTCCACCATAACTTTTTAAAGACTGTAAGAGATAAAAATATAAATCAATTGAAACCTTATATGAGTCTGAATGACACTAACTGAATATATATTTTTTTAAATGAATAAAATAAAAAATACACATTAAAACAAAGGCTTGTTTTTAAAAACACCTACTTAATTTTTATTTTATCTGTATATTTAAAGAATCTATTTGATACCCATATTGTGAGAGTTAAGTATGCAGTATCAATAAATTCTGGGAACTGGTAATTTCAAAATGATACTACCACAGATCAAGGGATTCCTGGTACTTTAATACTGACTTAAAATGCTATAACAATTAAGTAAGTCATTAAAACCAATAATTTAGATTTTGATTTTCAGTATTTTAAATTAAATTCAATAAATAGAAATCAACTGCGAAGTTTTGTTCTTATTTTTAATTTAAATTTTTCTAAGTAATAAAGTATCAAACATTAAATTTGGAAGTCACTTTATAATATATTTATATAGAGTTTCAGAAAAAGTGAATGTGAAGTGACTAGTGAATTTAAAAAAAAAGAACTCAATAAATAACAAAAATGTTTATATTTTCAGTCTCAACTCTATATCTTAAAAGGGTTCTCAAAGCTCCCACAATACTGTTTAAATCAATTGATACCTTTGCTCACAATTCTTGATGTTTGCTTTGTCTTCCTCCGATGGTGCTTCAGTTAAATTAGGTAATTCACATAATTCACATACACCTTTCTCTACAAGTAGTGCTGCTTCCTCTGACATGAGAGCCATTGGTAAACCTATAAATACACCTTTATTTTTTTATTAATTACAACATTTCAACAACAGATTATTTGGTTTCATTGAATTATGAATGGGTAGATTTGCTGTTTCAGATGACCTGTAACCAGGCTTTTTCGCTATATGATGATAATAATGATTTTTAATAAATTAACTCATGGCTAATATCTTAAAACCGCAAAGATTAAAAACCAAAACTAAAATCACACTGGCAGTGCCACACTCTTGGTTTTTGAATGGATTCTTGAACTACCTATATCAGCTAGCTATAATAAAAACTTTTAATGAGAGCACAAGTCAACACTCTTAAATTGGCATGGCAGTATTATTGCCAAATTATTTTTCTCTTGTGTACTTAAAAAAGAAGTTAATTGATCGAATTAGCTTCTAAAAATAACAGAGCTTTATAAACTGATTGCACCTTACCTAAGAAATCATTTTGCCGAGGATAAGTTGCAATGGAACCAATTAGAGAACCACAAATACGGTGTTCAGTTCGAAGTAGGTACCAATCTAAAAGAAAAAAAAATTACCAATAAAATTTTACAAGAAAATCATAATTCTATGAATAATAACAAGTCACAACAGTAAATTGACTTACCATCGGCATTCCAAACATATGCAACACCTTTATCTACAAATAATCGAATCATTATTAGTCAAATAATAACACTTGGCCAGAAGGTGTGTATAATACTTGTTATTTTTGTTAAATTCACTAGAGACCTGAAAATACACTGACGGCATAAGTCTGAATGTTAATTGATATCATAGATTATATAGTTTTATTACAGTTGTAGTTTATATTATTAGTTTACACAAAATAAGGCAAAAATGTCTCTTTAGACACATGTCATCGGACCGCTAATAGTGACGTAACAAACAAATGAGATGACAGATTACCGATTATTTCTGGATTATCGTTTCATTAAAATAATTTTATTACTATTATTTACGTTTGTAACAAAGAGCCTGTACACAACAACACTAATAGTCAGCTTTCCACTTTGGAAATTGCGAAAAGTCTCATACAAATTTCCCTTTCCTTATTTAGGGGGTTAAGGGAAGATTTCTAAAAAACCTTGATAAGATTATTTTTCGCTTATAATAATGAGTCTGTATACCAATTTTCGGTGATTCACCTTGAAAACTGATGAAAGTCCCGTGCAAATTATCACTCCTCTTTTAAGAAGCTTGGGACAAATTTCCAAAAGAAAATAATAAACATATTTGTCCGCATACCGATTTATGACTTTCTATTTTAAACGCTACGGAAAGTCCAATACCAAATAAAATCTCCTCTTTTAAAAGAATAGCGACAGATTTAAAAAAGATGGTGCACATTGTTTGTTAAGGAGAAAAAGTCATGCTAAGTTTTGACTTTCTTAAAAATTGCGGAATGCTCTATACAAATTATTTTTGGGTGATGGAAGAAAAAGGGACAAAATACTAGCATATGTCACTCTTCAGCCCTTCAAACAATTGCACATAAAAGAATTAACGTAAATATTTTTACTAGGTCATCCATTTGTGCCATACGTCAAGTCAGTTTTATGTTCTCTTTGTGATTGATTGGATACACATGCTTCGCAGTGTTGTAAGTATAACAAAACACAGTCACTCCCTGAAATTCCATAACGGTTCTTTTTTTGCACTGACTCTGCTGATGATATTTTTTTTAATTAATTTATGATAAAACGAAACAAAATGAATTTAATTCGTATAAATGAAATTCGTTTTGTTATGTCTGTCTTTTAACTTTTGTAGGTATTCTCTTATCTGAGGTCGCTATTTTTATAACCTTGCATATTTTATAAAATTTAATTTATAAAATAGTTTAATTTAATAAAAACAAACAAGAAAAAAATATTCCCGGTTTTCCTTGAAAAACGTACTTTTAAACAACTCTCTCTGTGCATATTTCTTTCGCCCATTCATTTCTATATCTATTGAGTACTGTCATACATAACTCATCAGATCTTTGCTCATCAGTCAGCTATAGAAAAGTAGTAGTAGTAGTTTGTTTCGTCTACGGGACATGCGAAGGAACTTAACCATATTGCCAAATTTTGAGTCAGCTGTAGAAAAACTTTAGTAATTTGTTTCTTTCTAGTAACGTATTAGACCTATGTAGTTTATGAACTACCTTCACGTTGTTAGGGATGTTCATTTAAAAACACATCGATGGTTTTTGCGATTCATCAATAGGAAAGCTTGCATCGATATTTTTCGATATGTCAAATTAAAACATCAATGTTCTTTGGTACATCGATGAAAAATCAGTTAATACTTACAACTATTATTAGTCTATGACATGATTTTTATCGGAAACTTGGAGTTTAACAAGATTATTGTATACGATAATAGCCGCAGTAGTTACCATGTGAAAAATCTCACTTAATTAAAATTTTAATATCGCCTCTGTAATTTATATCTTGTTCGGCTTTTCATTTTGGAGTACCTTGTCCTGTTTTATAGTACTAAGTCCATGGTCTAATAGGTTTTTAAGGTCTGTTATGTCAAAATTGCAAAGAGTACTTTTATATTAAGCAATGTAATCCAAAGATGTAATCAGATAGACGCTCAAAGCCTTTTTTATTATTTTATTTATTACCCCAAAATCAAAAATTTTCATATTTTCATTATTGTTACTTTCGGTGTAAAGACCACAAACGTGACATTGGCGAATTGTGTAAACGAAAATAGACCATGAATTAAAAAAGAAGTGTTTTAAATAATTATGTGCCGATTCGATTATTATACACATCGTTTAATCAATTATACAATTTCTCGTACTCGATTAATAATTGATAATGATCGATTCATGTCAATGATTATTAAATATTTTAACCCCAAAAGTTTATTAATGATTTCAGATAAATTCCAACTCCTTGTAAAGCCATCCAAATTAATGAAAAATAGTTAAAAATCTATTCTTAGACAATTTTTACTATACCAGCATTGTGCATGCAAAATTTATAGAATTAAACTAGCTGTACCCGCGATTTCATCCGCGTGGAAAGTAGCCTTAGTAATTTCTTATTAAATAAGCTATCTGCCAGTGAAAGTCCCGTGAAAATTAGTCTAACCGTTTCAGAGTTTAGCCGGAACAAACAGACAGACAAACAAAAGTAAAAAAATATTATTTTAATATAGGTATGTACCGTGTTCACTTACATGTGCATTTAGTAAGAAATGGTTAATTTGCATATGTTAAAATAAAACTGTTAGATCCGTTCATTCATTCATTGGGAGGACCCCGACTAAAGAGTAAACCTACCTATTAAGTACAAATAGGTAAGTTTACTCTTAGGTCGGAATACTCCAGGGTTGCCATAATAAGTAATAGAATATCTACTAATAATATTCACACTCGCGATCCGCTGTAGGTTGCTGAGTCACCAAAGTTAAGTAAGTAGGTACTATACTAACGTTTTAAACTATTCCTAATGCTAACGTTTTAAGAAATAATCGACGGTTAATCGTTGATTAGGAAATCATAATTGATAGCAACTTTTTATTAGAAAAATCGATCTATCGATTAATCTGTAATCGATTACACACACCATTAGTTTTAAACTAACAATGTCAGTCAAATTTCGTTTCCAGAGCCGGTTGTTTTTGTTTACTTGAAAAAAAATATATTTCGTAAAAATTACTGTGTATAATATTTTTCTCGAACAGCGAATTCTAGTTTAATACATATTTGTTTATATATTAATGCAAATAAACTTTGCAGCTTTATCAAAGAATTACATAACATGGCAGCAAGAAATGTCTTAATTGGTATATTTTATGTTCCTCAATCTCCACATTAATTATAAAGATACAAAAAAGTGCAGTGTACATTTACGTTTTTCAGGTGGTGGTACAGGCTTTATTGGTAAGAATTTAGGGGAGCTTCTCATAGCTAATGGGTATAATGTCATGAATGTTGCTCGGATGCCAGGAACCAGTAATATCTCATGGTCTACTCTGGAACTGTCAGGATTGCCAAATCGGACCTGCGCCGTGGTTAACCTTGCTGGCCAGCAGTTTATGGACTTCACTAAAAGTTGGACACCTGGGTTGGTAAATTGAAACATTGCTTTAAATAGGTCCTCACATTATTAGAATAAAAGGAAAATTCTAACAGAAATTTGCATAAGTTTATAACAACAAACAGTACTCACTTCATTGTAGTTTAGTGGATATAAACAAAGCAGTAAAGGACTAAAATTAATGTATATGTACTTTATTATTAAATATAGTAAAACATTTTTTGACAGAGAAACTTTCAACAATGTTAATTAGCAAAAGTAATTAACCAAGATCATAGTTTTCTATAACATAGGATGTATTGGTATCCAACCTTTATTTTTAGCACATATTAATATTATCATTAATCAATACAAATATGTAAATAAATGTAATTATTCCAGATTTAAACAAAATGTTCAAAATTCAAGAATATACACCACTAAAGCATTAGCTAAAGCTATAAATGAAAGCAGAGATAAGCCAAAAGTGTTTGTTCTGTTAACTGGTGTTGGTGCCTATGAGCCATCAGATAGAAATAAATATGATGAAAGTAGCCCCACAACTGGAATTGACTTTTTCTCAAGACTTACTGTGGAGTGGGAAAAGGCTGCCTCTATAGATCCTCCTGTTCGACTTGTAAGTGCATCAGTATTTTAAATGTTAATAGATTGAATAACTCCTATAAAGTTTAGAGCTTTTTGACTATAGTATAAAAGGCGTATTACCTTACAATATATGTTATTTGAGTAATCGTTCAAATTATATTTGAAAATAAACAGTATACAAAATTAACAAGAATAATTAAATCAAAGTACTGAAACATTAAAAAAATTTTGCTACATTATGAAAATAAAAATTGTACTGCATGCTACCTGCATTATAGGGACTCTATTCTTCATACTCATCAATACATCTGCCTCCCCAATATAATTACAAATGAATGCTAACATTTGCACTCTGCTATTCCAAAATAAAGATATTGACTGACTCTCAAATAAAACTTATTAATAAAAACATTTCTGATAAAATAAAAAAATCAAAAAAAGAAGTTAAATCAAGTCATCAAAAACTAACATATAAATACTATACATAAAATGAAGAAATGTAAAAACATTTTCTAATTTCAATATTGACATAGTAAGTACATCATATATGTACATAAATATATTCAGAAAAGTTGCTTTTTAAAATATGAGTATCATAATAGATAATATCATCTTTGCTATGTTATATTGTATTAGGTAACATTGTGGATATTAAAGAATATTTATTGCTCAATAAAAATATGCATTTTTATATTTTTGGGTAATACATGGTATCAAAAAAATGTGATTCTCTTAACCAATGTTTAAAGAAATAAAAACATTGCCTTTGCTATGTAATTATATTTGTGTAAGATATTTATTTGTTATAAATCACCCGCAATACCTTACCAAAATCAGAGAGTTAAAAAAGATCCTTCAAAGTTTGAAATGAAATGCAATTCCAATATGTTATATTATTGAAAGAAAATATATTTTTTGTGCTACTCTTAAATTATGACATCTTTTGTATGCCATATATTATGCAATAAATAAATGATTGATTCATTGAACCATAGGTACATACATTTTATCAAATATTCAGATATCCATCGGAAATATTGAAACAAAGCTTGTTGTACATAGAAAAAAACTTTATACTTCCATAAAAAATCCAGTTATAATTATGTATGTTTAGGTAATTATCAGATCTGGTGCAGTATTAGGTCGATGGGGTGGCATGATAAAGAACATGTTCTTGCCATTTTATTTCGGTTTTGGAGGCCGTATTGGTACTGGTAAACAGTACTTGCCATGGATTCATATAGACGACCTCACCAGTCTCATCAAGTTTGCCATAGAGAATGACAATATTTCTGGAATACTCAATGGTGTAAGCCCTAAAGTCATTACCAATGAAGAGTTCACAAAGGTATGTTGTCAATTAAAATGTTTTATAAACACTCATTTTATCCACATTCCAACACTTTTATACTATACTATACATATATTTAACTAGCTTTCTGCCAGTGGCTTAGCTTGCATGATTTCCCATATTTGCAACAGTTCCATTGATGCTCCACTATCTCATTAATCAGAGCATGATATTATAACCTAAATATTTCAATACAAATCAGTAGTTTCTTAAATTAGAGTGTTTAACCAAACAAATTACTCTTCAGCTTTATAATATTATAGTATAGATGGCATACTATTTTAATAAAAATAATGTTAGTTATTGCTTTCATAATAAAAAATACCTGAAAAAAAAGGCATATATAGATCGATGTACTAAATAAAATGATCGATGTAGTGTGCCCCCTTACATACTAAATAAAAAATATTCAAGAATTTCTCGTTTAAAGTAATAACATTACATTGATAAGATTAGACAATATACTTTGAAATTACAAGTCTCTAGGGCAAAAAGTCCGCAATTATTATTTCACAAAATATGTTAACCTAGATAATTTAATTATAGGTAAATATTGTATCCTTCAAGATACGCATTTTTTTTTTATTTGTCAATACCTCACACTTCTATTATCACAACGCTCACATTTGTTATTATTCTCTTCTGTACATATTTCTTTTAGAAACTGCCCGATCACAAAAAAATGCGATTATCTCTTTCCAGGGGGTTGCACTCGCAAACCCTTGCTTTGATTTACCTACATACATGGAATAAATTAAATCTACCTACACCTTTCACCTTTTTCATTTTCAGTCATTCGCTAAGGCTTTACGACGACCAGCTGTTTTTCCTGTTCCGGAATCGATACTAAATCTCTTTCTGAATCCTGAACGTGCAATGATAATGACCAAAGGACAATATGTCATTCCAAAGCGTGTTCTAGAATATGGTTTCAAATACAGATATGAAGATATTGATGATGCTTGTAGAGAATTTGCACATCTTTGCCCTAAAAAACACCCGCTCAAGTAATTAAAACCAAAGTGTCTTAAGATGTTATTATTTACTTATTAAAATTGTAGAAATCAAAAATAAGTTGGCTAGAAATTTGTAATAACTTATTGTACATATGTAATTTATTGTTATTAATTGTTTAATTGTTTAATGTTAATACTCAAACTTGAAATGAAAGTCTTTAATTACCATTGTTTTTGTTCTTTTAATGTTGATTACACTATTTACATAAAAAACGATAAAACCAATATGTGTTTCATCCAAACATAGTTGATATTTTGAAGAAAATAAACTAAAAAATCAATTCAAAATATTTTAAAATTTAATTTTCTAGAGATATTAGATAGGTATTTTTTTATGGCGACCATGCACGATCAAGATGGGTTGGACCCTCGTCAATCTGACGGAAAACGCGTACGTTAATACGCGACAGATAATCTGTCGAGTGTGCAACATTGAATATCATTTATTGGCAGTTCTGACGCATTTTCAAGTTAACTGTCAAGTTTGCAGTATGCTTGAAATAATATCATACAACCATGACGGCGTATAGAGACTTTAAGCAAATAAATAGCTTCAACCGTCAAGTTTGTGTGACGCAGCATCAAACTGCAAACCGTCGCCGCTTCAAAGGCGATGCAAACTTTACACCTTTTTAAACATATTGCAAACTTGACGGTAAACTTGATAGTGTATGGCAGCCATTAGTAAACGCAAAAACTTGACATTAACGTTGAAATTAAAATTAAGTTAAAAATTAACTAGTACTAAGTAGTAAATGTAGTAGTACTAAGTACATAAGCTGTACCTGCATAATAAAAAAATATGTTACGATTGCAAGAATAATGCTAGTTTGAACTATATTTTCTACTTATCTACAATTTAAAGCCTAAAATATTACATAGAATGACATCACAAAATGTGCCCATGCCATGTACGCACAGCAACACATCAGATTACTACAAAAAGATCTAAATTTCTGTAATTTTTTGTTTTATTTTAATTGTTTCTTTTTTGGAATATGAAGTTTATCACCAGGGCTTTTTTCTTAGTCACGTAGTATGAGCAATATTAAGGTAGGTGGACATCTCACGGAAGATGCATCAATCTTATACTCACTGCTTTAGTGTGCTCGTCAAGAAATACGTATTAACGTATTGGTATTTTTCTGTTTTGACGCTATGACGCATTTGCTGTTAGATATGCACTTACCCATTTTTTTAGTACAAAAGATGTAACGGTATATTGCTTAAATGACCCCATACGTTACACTTGAGCTATTCTACGATTTCTGCGAACGACCAAGTGTAACACCCCCCTTATGGTTGTATTTTTCATAAGTTATCATAAGAGTTTCACGGTGAGATCGTTTCTTTGGCGAATCTGTGTACTAGTCTCGAAACGAACTTCTTCAATATATCCTGCCTCATTCTACCCACGTCGAGGACTTCTTCATGATTCGCTTCGGCATCATCGTAGCTGGTGACACACTCGTTGGTTATGAGGGACAGAGCGAATACGTTCATGTCGCAATGCCGAGCGGTGATTACCTATAAAGAAATATTGTTAGTTTCAATTAGTTATCTGTTTCATATCGACTTCGAATGTGGATTTTCTTTCAAATGTAATAAATAATGTTTAATTCATATCCAATGTTAACCTTAACCCCAATTCTCGCTCATTATTGACGTATTAATGCCAAAATGTTATCCTCATAAAAAAAAAACATTAATAAAACCAACCTATTCATTCGGTAGATTTTTATGAGTTAGGTACTGACGCATTCTATGTTTTTTCCCCTTCTAGAGCAATACGGATGACTAACGATGCATAATGAATCAAAATATTATAACATACGGATACTTAGGTAATGAACACACTAAAATAGGAAAGATCGTTAACTTTCATATGAGGACTGTCTCAAGTGTTACGCTGTGTTATTTTTTTCTTTTATTTTTCCTTTCACATTTTCAATGCTAAGGTAAGTGTAGCTATATAATAATGGATTAAGTGAATGAATTTCCTCCTACATTTAAATTGTGATTATTTATCTAGTTATTTCATTTTACTATTTCTTGGTCATACTCGGTATTTATTCGTGCGAATAGAAAAGTAAAAAAAAAAAAAAACTAAAAACAGCCAATTCTGTTGTACAGCTCTCTAAATAAACTAAAATATATAACTTTAATTTGAGTTCGTTTTAACATTACAGTCAAACAATAAATATAATAATTTCATAGCACTAAACCTGAACTTAATATAGTTTGTGCAACAGAATCATGTAGTAATGTTCAATGAAATGTTACAGTAAAATCAAAGATTTACCTCATGCACCGTGGACATTCCAACAGCATCAACTCCAACCATTTTGAGCATATTCAACTCTGCGACCGTCTCGAAGTTCGGACCGCCAAGGCACGTATATACGCCTTCCCGGACAATGTTTTCTATATTCAGCTCTTTTGCCACCTGGTTGATTGATAATTTCATAAATAATAGTTCGAGAAAAATAATCTTCTAAAGGATAAGTATATGGATAGTGCTAATTCAATGAAAATCACAAAAAAATAAAAGACATTTAATTACACCAATTATAAAGAGTATAGTTTTGGCCAATGTCAAAATAAATTCCTTGGTCTGGAAAAATTGTACTTTTGAATACAGTAGACATGGATAAATGTTCAATAAAAGTAATTTTTTTCAAGATAAAATTATTAATTAGAGCGCCCTAGCTTGCCTATATGGACGGGCCGGCCATATTATATTAAACATTAACCCCTCCAGCTGGTTTCAAGATGTCCTCATCTCTAAGGTCCTAGGTTCGAATCCTGGCAATATACTTTTCTAGTCTGAATGTTGTGGTACCTTTCATTGTTTCAGATTTTTGTAATAAAGGGAATCTAAGCAAATATTGTGTGATTTTGTCCAATTTTTCTTTCGTATGTAGAAGATATATTGATTAAATAAGATTTAAGCTTTTCATCCTTAAACTATAAAGAAGTAGAATACTTAATAGGCGACATTTATCATTCTATGATTAGAATAAAAAGTCAACTTCAGATTTTAGAAAAAAGTGTATGGTCAATCAAATCTATTCATCACTTTTATCGTAATAAATAAATGAATTGGCTCTGCGATTATGATGGGTAATTTTATCCTATCAATAGTTTCCTTAAGATTATGGAACGTAATACTTAAGGTCATAGATACATTTCATAATACGAGGGTCAAACTGAAAGTTCTTAGAACTGGCCACTTATAAACAATATAATAAAAAAATAATTCTAAAATTTGAAAATATAACTCTTTGCCAATATTACTGAGTATATATTTCATTCATTTGTCATTTGTTTTACGATTTGGCGGCAAATTGAAAATTGTCTGTGTCACGTCATCATGAATTTAACACCAGAAAATTTTCGTGCAATGATTTTTTATGACTTTCGATGTCATTTAAGTCAACAAGAAAGTTATGATAGACTACGATTGGCCTTTCACGATGAAGCCCCATCTCGTGCGACTGTTTACAACTGGTTTAATGAGTTTAAACGTGGTCGCACTAATCTCACTGATGATTTACGTGAGGGACGGCCTTCTACGGCGACGACTGAAGATAACATCTGTGTTGTGCGGCGTATGATAGAGACTGACAAAAAGGTGACCTATCAACAGATTCGGACAAGCTTAGGCATCGGTATGAGTCAAGTGCACAAAATCCTCCACGAACATTTAGCGGTCAGGAAGCTTTGCGCCCGGTGGATACCTCATAATTTGACTGAGGCTCAAAAACTCCATCGTGTGGATTGGTGTCGTAAAATGATTGAAAGATTTAACGGAGGTGACTCAAATGCTGTGTTCGACATACTAACAGGTGACGAAAGCTGGATTTACTGTTATGATCCTAAAACCAAAAGACAATCTGCTCAGTGGGTGTTTCCTTTCGAGGAGTTGCCAACTAAAGTGAAGAGAGATCGAAGTGCGGGAAAAAAAATGGTGGCCTCGTTCTTTGGAAGGATAGGTCATTTTGCAACAATTGTGTTAGAGGATCAAAAAACAGTTTCTGCAGAATGGTACACTACCAATTGTTTGCCACTTGTCTTGGAAAAAGTTCGAGAGAAACGACCTCGCAGTAGGATCCTCCTTCACCACGACAACGCCTCGTCGCACACCGCCAAGCGAACGATCGACTATTTGGCGACATCAAACGTTGAATTACTGGGTCACCCGCCGTATAGCCCCGACCTCGCGCCTTGTGATTTTTATTTATTTCCAAAAATTAAAGAAAAACTTAAAGGAAAGCGGTTTATGAATGCTGAAGAAGCGGTGGCTGCGTATCGCGATACCATTGAAGAGACCCCTAAGGACGAGTGGGCAAAGTGCTTTTCCCAGTGGTTCCATCGCATGCAGCGGTGTATTGACGTGAATGGACAATATTTTGAAAAGATATAATAAAACTAATAACTGGCTAATGTAATCAGTTTTTGATTTTCTAAGAACTTTCAGTTTGACCCTCGTATAAGGATATGTAGTCACTATAATTCAGCTTCATCGTTTGCCGCTTATTATAATAAGAAGACGGAGACAACATAGTAGAAATTGAAAATCTAACAAGTGTGTAACTAAAATGTTCTAATAATTTCAGCAAATAAAATATTTTGAAAAAAAACGATTAATTATCATATGTATAATAAAAATACATAAATATTAGACAACATAACATAGATTTCTCAAATTCCAAAATGAGTAGTTGAAGCCCCCGTACACATAGGCGATTGGCTGGAAACCACCTCCATTTTTATACTTAGTTTTATATTTTTACAATTTGTTCTTTTTTTCCTTTCAATTATGTTCTTTGTTTTTGACACTAATACTCATTATTATTGTCTCCAAAGAGTAAAGTATATGTCATTTCCAATGCTTAAGCTGTGATTTCTGATTTATTATTATACAGTTTATCATATATCCATTAGTTTCTTATTTACAGTCCTCATTCCTACTCTTAATTTTATGGACTATCTGAGACAACGAAGGTACAACTACAAACCAGACCAGGGACAATATAGAAAGTATAATTTCTACATTGACTCGACCGGGAATTTTGCAGTGTGAATCCGAAATTGATCAAATATAATGATTTACATTTCTTATTTACTTTATTTAATTTTTATATAGACCTACGAAAGTCAAAACTATGCTTATATATTGCCGTGTGCAATAGATGCAGTCTTAATTAATCGCTCGTAAATCACTAAGATTAGCATAAAAGTATTCGGCTGTAAAGTAACTCATTTGTTTATTAAATTCCCAAATAAAAATTATAATTTACTACGAAAAGAAATCGAATAGATAAATGGTGAATGTTGCCTCCTCGCCGTACGCTAGATTTGGATGATCAATTTGATGATTTTTCTTTTGAGTAAATTTTTATAACTGTGAGGAAACCTTTAGAAATATGGTGTAGTTTTCGTTCTTTAATCAAAGCTTATAAGGACATTATTTGTTGGTACAAAACAAAATTAAAGATAGTATTTTTAGTGTTCGCTCTCTTCTTCTCTCGCGCTCTCTTCGAGTCTCTTACCTCCTTGTATGTAGTTTCACGGGGGGTAGCATCAAGAAGTTTAAATATCTTTGTATTTATCTTTACTACTTAGGTAGCATAGTCGTTGCGTGACTTAACCTCTTTTAAAATAATATAGAAAAAAAAGAACTTACATCCTTTGCAATCTTTCTGTATTCTAGTTTGTAAGCTTTGTTCATCGGTGGAAATCTAGGTCCGAATCTCTCGTCGTTTGGTCCGTGTAACGGGTTGTTGCCTGCGAAGCCCATCATATTGATATGATCCCTCACGATCATTATATCACCTATCTTGTAACTCGGATTGAGTCCACCGGCAGCGTTTGTAGCTATTAGAGTTTCTACTCCAAGTAATTTCATTACTCTTACTGGTAGACAGCACTGGAAAAATAGGAAAGTGATTTATTATTATTCCAGGCGTTGTTAAGTATTTTTAATCTAATATATGCACCATATATTTTGAGAAAAAAAGGTTTTTGTGCTTATGTGACATCAGCAGAAGATGCAGGCCTGAATAATGTAAGAAAATGCTTATAGCACAAACTCCATATTGCTTAATAAAATTCGAAAGTTATTATCTGAGTCCTTATTCATTACTACTAATGAAAACCTAGTTGTGTCCCCGAATTTTCACCCGGGTAAATTAGGGTCTATGTCACCGTGTACGGTGTAATAGAATTTTTAAAAACAGTAATCAACGCAAAACAAATCATCAAAACATTCTTTTTAATATTATTAATATAGATTTACTTTTTATAATTTTTATCTTTATTTACAAATAAATGCACCGTCTGTGGTCTTTTGAACTACATTATTTATTATGTAAAACTACTGGGATAATTACAATAGTGTCCTTAACTGTCATTCGCTCCAAACACTGATAACCTCCTCGCTAGAGATCAAGAATCGCTTTTTGCGTCAGCCATCCAGATCTTTCCAAACAATAATTTTTACTACGCTTATCTATGATAATGTACTATCAGTAAACAGAATATACGAAAGAATGGAATAGTTTTCATTTACGTTTATTATCATTACAATTAGAATCGATTTCAAGAAACGCGCATGGATCTTTTAATGAGTTTTAGGAATTTTACAGTTCATAAATATTTCCTAACTATTTTGTAATTAATGGCTTTCCAACTCTTAATTAAGAGTGCACATGAGGAAGATGAGAGACGAAATTTTTATAAAAGGATGATTACGTATTTCTCGTTACGCGATATACCTATAGCTTCAAAATTTTTATTTTTAATCAATTTTTTAATGTCCAAAAATATAGTTATATTGTAGGTATAAACGCAATAAAAAAGAATATAATTATCAAAAGAAATTAAATATAGTTGATTTAGTTTGGACAGTTAAATTATGAAACCCCAATGTGAAAATTTTTAAGCCACTCAGATGGAGTGATGGTGGAACTGGTGGAAAAAAGAAAAGAACAAAGAAACAAAATCCAGGTTAATCAATGAAATAGAAACAAGTGACCCTTGATAAATCTTGATATTTGCTGGCACCATAATTATCAAAAATATTTCAGAAAAGAATTGGGAAGACGTTAATTCATTGAAAATTTTTGGAGGTAACTTTATAATTTTTGTCAAGAAAATGTACTCGTGTTTTTTATTTACTTTGGCTTTTTAATTTTCTTTACAATCAATTTAAAATTGGTGATTTGATTTAGACGCCCTCTGATGCAATAATAAAAATAAAGGAAAAATATTTTCTTCACAGTATTATGTATTTGAGCAGTAGTTAAATTAATCTTGATTACATCATTCAAATCAATGATGAGTTTTTTTCCGTCAACATTATTGAAATGATAAGAATGACTTTTTTTCGACAACAAACTTAGAAGATTTGTTTTAACACTGATGACTACTCTGAAGTTAAATCGACATGACTTAGGCATTTTCCAAAGTTTACTGAGTGAATTATTGGCAAACACAGCAAAACATATGCCACATGGTAAGTCATCGATGATTGTTGATCTCTCAATTATTATTTTAGAGCTGTAGGTAATCTATATTTAGGGTACGATAGAACTGTCATATTTTGAAGAAAAACGATGATAAAAATAAAGATTTTTATTATGTTTTCAATTTTTTTTAATTTGTGAAGAGCTTTTTATCGCTATACCTACTTTGTTTTTGAAAATTCATGTTATAATAAAACTTTTTAATTGTTTTGTAACAGTTTTAGAATAAAAATTATAGATTATATTGTAATTTAAAATTAACTGAATAAACTCGTCTTACTTACCTTCCATAGTGGATATCCTTCGTAATAATGGAATCGGCCTTGCATAGCAACAACTGGCACACCTTCCAGTTTGCCAAACACCAGTTTTCCGTGATGTCCTTCAACTGTACTGACTGGGAAGTTGGGGATATCTTCATAGGGTACGCAATCGGCATCCTCTATACTCTCGGCTAGTGAACCTGAAACAATAAAATAGGATTTTCATGCAAAGGTCTTTCTTAAAAACCGCAATCTTCCCATAAAAACCGAAAAATAATCACTGAATACTTTGATTATAAAACCTGAACATAGTACAAATACATTTTTCATTAGGTATTTAAAATTTCTGTCATAAACTTTGAACTAAATGTTCAATGTATTAGTTGGAAATCGATTTCGGAAATTGGACATCGATTATGTGTTGAGCGTAGATTGAATTTGCTACAAAACCATTTATAGACCACTTCGAGTAGACCAATTCTGCTAATGTTAATTACGCTATATTATAAAATTATAATAGCGCTTCAAGTACAACTCTTTATGACACAGTTCTTGTTACTAGATCAAAAAATATTAAATATAACTTTAATCATTGATTTGTGAGGAAGACATTGGACTAATAATATTGAATTTCATGTAGATAGTAAGTGGAGTGTAAGTGCAATGGAAAAATGCAAGTAGATATTATTCCGATGCGATTGTTACGTAAAAATTATCAGAATTGGGGACATGAACTACTCGCGTAATAGACGCGTTTCTTTACATATTCATCGTTAGTAAGAATTGGTTACAAATAGATAAAAATTTAAAAAAAAAAGGAACATTGATCTTGAAGTTGCATCGTGATATGCGCTTAATGCTCTTCTGGGGAAGGCAAGACCACAAATGAATGAATTGAAGTGTCTTTTTCATAGCCTGATAAATTTGAGAAATAATATTCTTTTTTCGTACCTATTCCATAGGTATAGTATGTCGTACTTGTTTATATAGCTTAATTTGTAAATTATTTTATGTAAAACACTACAAATAATTACGTTTAAAACGTCCACATCTAAAAACTTAAATATGTTAACAGAGATAAGCGATAATGCATAGATAATGTAGATGAACAGGTATGTACCCTCTTTCCAATACGAACCCATCCCAGAGCCGCAAATGACGCCAATACGAGGTCGTATCGAAGTCCGCGACAGCAAAAAGTTTGCGGTTTCCAATAAAGTTTCATATGAATATCTGGAAATAAAAAAATAAAATATAATCAATATTTTCATGATTCTACGGATTGATATTAAACTAGGTATTATTGTGATTTATTTCGAGACTGCGCCTGCGTAAAATATAGCCTAGGTATGTCACCCGCGCTAATGAAGCTTCCCGTGGGTAAGAAAAGAATTGTTTTAAAAAAACAATCAAGTTTTTCCTTTTTATAATATTAGTAAAAACAAAAAAATGTTAATTACTATAATATAAATGCCTCAAAAATTTAAACATCTCATCTCAAGTGGTAGAGGCAGAGCTTAATGCCGTACAAGCTGATAACTGATTTTGTTAAATTTTAAAGATAGATAAATAAAATAAAAGATAGTAATTTCAATGAAAAAATAAATTAATCAATTGTGATATTCATTTAATTGTTCTAAATATAACTACGAACATTTAAACTTACAAATACCTATGTTACAATGTAAATTAACCACATTAAGTGTATGGTTCAATAAACAAACGTAATAACAACAATGAAACTTTATACGAGTATTTTACGTATTTCTACAGGGTTAAAGATCAAATTCCAATTAAAGATCAACATGCGATTTTCACGCATCAGGAGGTAAGTTAGTGTAGTCAGTCACACGTTTAGGTTTTGTATTACATTACACAGGTGATATGGTTTTTTCACTCAAATTTATTGTATATTTATTTATTTATTTTTATTATCTTTTATTATAAAACAATTACGCTTTTGCCATATATCACCTTTGTATTTCATATATATCAGCTAAAGAACAAAAGATTGCGTATTTTGAATTCATTCAAAATTCGAAAGGAGGATTTACGATGTTCGAGGAGTATGAATATTTTTTTATGAAAATAAGTACGTAAATCGATTTCTTCTTGAATTTTGAACCAATTTCTTTCAAAGTAGCTATTTCTCCGCGACTTCGCCTGCGTAAATTATAACCTATATCCATCGCGTATATCTAACTTCACGTAGATGAAAAAGTTTTATAAATCGGTCCAACAGTATAGCCTATCCAATGCAAATAACCAACAATCAAATGTTTCCTCTTTAAAATATGAGTCTAAAATTATTGGAAAACATTATGTCGAGCAAATAAACAAAATCTTCTTTTCTAAGACTTACTATTTTGAATATTTTTATTTATATAGAACTTATATCTATACTAATATTATAAAGAGGAAAGATTGGATTGTTTGTTTATTTGCAACGAAACTACTGGACTGATTTAATAAAAATTTTCACCTACGGGAAGTCAATGGAAACGGTGAACATGGGCTATATTTTATCCCGAAAAACAGCAAATAAAGAGATGAAAATGGGAGTAGCAATTTATATAGGAAAAGAAAACGTTACGTTACCATATTAACGATTGTTTACTATTAAATTTGTCTTTGTAATATAATAAAAAGTCATTGATTGTAATTATATGATATGAATCGATATCCTAATAAACAGTTCCCTAGGGACTACGCGGGCACAGCCGCTGTAGTAACTAGTATTTAATATTTTTAGTGTTACCTATTATATAAAAAAATATATCAATATCACTAAAAAGCATGAAATAAAAACTTTAAAAAGAGTAGAACCGACTTCTACCTTTAAAAAGTGATCAGTAATACTTATCTCAAAAGCCACTTATTCAAGAAGATGCTATTAAAATCGGGCGTCTATCCTTTAATTAAATCTACAGAAGACCTGCGGCTTTTTTAAAGTTAGAAAGTGCTACTATTTTATTTTTTAAGTTTTTATTAAGTAACAGGTGAATTATTCATTCTTTCTTTAAAATTCTAAGACCTAATTGACATTTTGAAACGGATTAATCTACATTTTGTTTCTTTGAGTCATTGCCATGAGTATAAAAAGAAAAATGTCAGTTCAACGTATGCGCTCCTAGAACCTGTCTTATAAACTCGGCCCTTTTGGTAGACGTTAACATGATTGACGAGATTCTCAATACATTCTTGATTGCTTATCAATATTAGAGAGGATTCCTAAACAAATATTTACAAAGAAATAAAGTCCATTTAAGCATATAAAACTCCATTATATCTTTATTAAACCTTACATTAAATATTATTATTTTTAAAAGCTTTACTTATTGTCTATCATTTTTAATCTATATCTTATATGTATAGAAATATTATGAGGTATAAGTAATACATAAAAAAAATATGCTAACATAATAAAGATCATTGGAAAGTAAAATACGCGATTTATTTACTTTAACGATACGAATATGTCGGCAAAGTTAGCCGTTTTTTCAAATAAAACGAGCCTTATTGCAGAATGCTTCCATTTGTTTTGTTGTAAAGACTGAACTGCTACGTATAATATGATTTCGATGAAAAATTCACAAGCTTCCGAAAAAATTTTTGAAAATCGGTTTACAATTCGCGGAGAAATCGGTAAATATTAAATACAAAATACCAGTAGAATATAAATCTTTTTTTATTGTGAATTGTTAAAACGTCGATTGTCTTTATCGGGTTAAAACTAGAGCTTATAAAAGTATTTTTGTCATTTAAAAAAAATGTGAAATCATTTTGAAAATTCCTTGTTTTTAACCGACTTCAAAATTGAAATAGAGGTGGTTATAATGTCCAAGGGCAATGTTTTTTTTAACAGTTATTGACTATTTTTATATAGAATATTTTAAACACTTGGTTCATTTGTAACCGTGGGCCCATCCTATATGTTCTGTGTATAATTGAATAATAAATACAACAATAGTAATCTGTGATCGTAATAGTTAGTGAGTGATTCTCTTTTATCAATAATTCTTCTTAACATGGCGCGTATACGAAATATCACTGATGTAATGTACCAGTAAATTTTAAACTCTACCTTCAAAACATTAAGGTTTAAAATTTGATAGATCTGTATAACCTGACGAGCTGTTGACTGTTCAATGAAATAACGTAATTGGGAGTAATAAAACCCCCTTAAATCACATCATACATGTAAAGGCACTGAAAGAGGCAAGGTATGAATTTACTTTTCTCGATAAATTTACTTCAAAAATTCATCATTACTCTAGTAAATTATTATAGGTAGTCTTTTATTATAGGGAAAATTGATAAATATTTAAGTCACAACGTAACCCACAGAAAACAGGAACATACATATTTATATAAGCATTAAGAAACTATAATATATTATATATTTACTATATTGTGTTCTAATTGAGTTTTATTCGTAGAAGATTGAAAAATCCTTATCCTTCTTTTCAATCAGAAATCTGAACGACCATAAGATATACGGAGTCTATAGTCAAAACAACTCGTATATTTAAAATAATAATTTGCAACGAAAATTATGTACTATAATTTTGAATAAACATTAATTATATTTAAAATAAGAAAATATGATTATAATCTTATCTAATTGCCAGTGGTATTTCAATAGCAATACAAAAAAATATATAATAATAGCCAAGAAAACAAAAATACATACAAGAAAACAGTAAATACAATAAATAACGTAAAGTTTATATTTTCCGAGCATCTTATTTACGTACAGTTAGTGCAATCTTCCTTGAGATTGCATCCAAAGGGGACCAACACGTACGTTCCCTAATTGTTTCAATAACGTTCCACTTACCCGTTAGCGGATTTTCCATTTTCTGTTTCAACTTCAGGTAGTGATTCCTTCACAGGCACATAGGCCTGCCTCCCATTAACATCCGCATTTATTGGCGCCATCACTTTTCAAATAAATTTATTCGAATTACGATCGTGTAATGTTAACTCGAGAAGCACAACGTCCGTGTCCGAACAGGCAATGAACTATAAGAGACCTCTCACAGTTATTATATATAGGAGTGCGAGTGTTGTGGTCAGTAATACCTATAACTACATCTATCTCATGATTTTAAACGTTGTTTTTGTTTAGCGCGATATTATTATCAGTGCGATTTATAGAACGTAGTATTGTGCGTCTTTAGTCTTCTTTTTCAATCAGAATATTTCTATGCCAATTATAAAAAAATGTTTATATATCAAACTAAAAAGAGGATCAAGGCAGATGTTAGCTTTTTATATACAAAAAAAAATGCCATTTTTTTTAAATCCTTGTCAACAAGATAAACTTTGTTTTCAAGAGACATAGTAACACTTTTATTTTAATTAAATAATAATAATAAGGAAAATAATGTAAGTCTCTTTTACATATTTTATTTCATCATTTCCTGATATCGACAAAATTATCAGTGGCAGTTAATATGATGCAAGATGTGCTGTACTTATTTGCATGTGTGTCAGTAACTTTAGTAGCTTATAAAAAATATTAATTTAAGAAAAACCGTGTGCCTGAAGGCTTCAAGTATTTTTGATCCATTTTGACCAAGAAGCGAAGAAAAACATTCAAAACTCAAGCGTATAAAAAGATCTATTGGTTAACAATTACGTGACAAAAATATTTATTATCATTTATGTATTAAAGGAGACTGATTAACCGATAACTATTAAGCATCATCATCATAAATTTCGTTTTTCATTCTTCTAGTAGGTATAGTCCAAACGTTACCAATATACAAATACTCATCGAGAGTAAAATAGCGCGCTCGCTTGTATTCATAAATTTTTAATCACAGAAAAAACAAAAATGTCTTTTCATAATTTTACATTGTATTAAACCTATTTTTGATCGACTTCAAAATTTAAAAGAAGGTTATATGTTAGACGGCGATGTATGTTCTTTATTGTATATTTTTATAGGTATAGTTTAGATCATTAGATGAAATATTTTTGTCGCAAATTCGATCTAAAAATCTATTTACTCAGTTTGCGATTTTTTCTATCGAGCCAATTATTGAAATTTATGTTATGTTTTTGTAAACAATCGACGGTATATTTGATTGTCATCATTTTTTATCTTGGAAATCGTAGCATTCTCTTAGAATAAAATTGGTTTAATAAGTGGTAATTTTGTAAATCCTAGCCTTAACCTAACTTCTATATGAATGGAACAAATAAGAATAATGAGTAAGCTGATTGCGGATCAGACTCAACAAAAGGCTTTTGTTTGTACCTAATAGATAGAGTTTAGTTTTTGGCACGGTAATAAATTATCGGTATTCATATTCGGTTACTAACACGGAAACTCAATATCTTCAAAAGTACCTACGCGGAATGGTTCTTACATTCTAAATAATATTCCACAAAAAATTGTAAGGGACCAAAATGATAAGCATTGAAAAGAACAATAAAGACACCTCAATACAAAGAAGTCTCTACGTGGGGCTTCTCGTAGATTTAAAAGAGCGTATTAAAAAAAGTATATATTATCTTATCAATTCACCATATCTGAAACAGTCAGAATGACAAAAAAATCCACCCCATCTCTCTTTAGGCAATTCTCGATCGTGTTATGTTAAAGAAACAGATAACCCAACAATCTTCACTTGACAAAAAATAACCTTTTTACCAAGTTAAAAAAGGATTTAATATTTCGTACGACCATTTCCTTAAAACCTATACAGATTTTATTTGAACGAAATTTTCGTTATTTAAAAAATATTTTTCTAGGAAGGTATTATGACTATGTGATACATTAAAATACATTATTTATGCCGAAATCTAAAAGGAAAGAAAATTATAAGTATCCAGAATGGTAACAATTTTTCTGGATAACCATTATTTTCGTTATTATTGCACAGTTAATCAACAACGTTAATACTAATAAATAACAAAAGGCTCCGCAATCCAAAGCAATTTCTAAATAAAGCTATTGTTATTCTAGTTAAATTGCTAGATATTACTTTCAGTTTTAATTCAGATTTGAATAGTCACTCGTATTAAAAAAATACTCCCTAGGCTGTAAAGGATGACTTACACATTTTTGTAAAGAAAAATAAACCTATAAAATAGGTACACTTCTTTGAAGGTCTTTATGTTCCTCAAAACCTGTTCAAGTTCCTTTTTCCTTACGAACGTGGCATATTAAAATAATATCAATGAATATAGTGGTAATTTATATTTATACAAAGTTTTTATAGAACTCAATACAGTGGGTATTTATTTCTTGGATGATAATACTTTTATGACTCTCAATTTGTGTATTTAAAATTCTTTACAACAAAACAGTTTTTAATTTAATATTTGTTTTGGAACCCACGTTGCGCGAGTCCAACTCGCACTTGATCAGATCTTTTATCTATAAAACCCTTGGTGAGCAAAAAAAAGTCTTTTCTTGTGACGGTTTCTCACAATTTTTTAAGTGAGCAGTCGTACTAAGCGAATGCGACAAATGCAATTAACGCATTTTAATTGCTACATTCGCAGTTATAAACACAAACGTGTTTATAAAGGTATTTCAAAATGGCACATTCATTGATTTATTATTATCATATTAAGTCATTTATGTGATCTAACAATTTATTGTCTCAATCGTTCATTGACTATGTGAAACAAGATTCTTAATGCAAAACAGAAAATTTCATATACACTTAGAAGTCTTTGAGTGGAACAACTTATCCACATAGAAGTTTGCAAAATTCATCTGCAATCATCTGAACAAACTGACGAGACATTTCAACTCGATATACATGACGAACTGGTCACTTATTTTATTTTTACCAACCACACGGCTTGCATAGTCGTTTACCATACAAAGTATTCATAAAAGACTTAAAAATTGGTTTAAGAGAGGTGCTGTTACATCAGAAGCATCAGAATTTAATCAGGATTAAAAAATATAAGAAAATGGTTTATGTCATCATCGCTGATTTACTAGGACGTTTAGGGCCTACAGTATATATATATATATATATATATACTAAATATCATAGAACTCAATGAATGATTGAATTGAATTGAAAAGTAAGTCACTGTCCACGTATGGCGTGTATGTCATCCGGAAAGGCCAAGTAAAATAATATTCTAAATTTCTTGTTGACAAGAATTTTCGTATAAAAATCTTGTTAATTTTTCAAACTAATATAAAAAAAATATTATGTTTAATCCATTTTGCATCCCATCTCGGGCACTTGGGACTCTTTAAGATAATGTAAATAATATGTAGCATGACTTGGTAGATCATTACTTATTATAAAATTTAACTAACCAGTGAATCAAATACGGAAAACGAATGATAATCACTGCCCTAGTGGGGATTGGTGGGTATTAACGACTGCAGATGTGGCCGGCTCAACTACTTAACTTTCCTTTGTAAAATTATTTCAGATTTTGATTTGATTATTGAAGTTTATTTAATTTCAGGGTTTCGTCTACAGGAACCTTTTTTCTAGCCTCAGGGGTTTCCTTATTCAAAGGTCTTTCTGTACACTGCCCGCCGCTCATGCATCTCCGACGAATTCCAAATTTTTTTACCAAACAAACCAAAAAGTTTCCCCAAGACGCCCGATAAGTGCCCCGTTTTTATTTTTAAAGAGAACTAATTACCTAAAGATTTGTAGTCGTAAAATAGCCCTGAGCTTTTTTCCTGCATTAAAGTTTTTATGATCATTAACCTTAACAAGTTTTATTCTTTATTGAAGTATTTCTATATAACCGTATTCGTTTTATTTAAATAGGCAAGAGACATATACGTTTGTTGGTACTATACTCGTATCCATATCTATAGACATCTGAATTATGAATGTAAATTTGTTAAATTTACACATTCATGAACCATGCCATGTGATGAACAATCTTGATAAAAATACTCAGCTTAAATTCTTAACACTTTTCGAGTAGTGAGAATTTTAAAGCGTCGTCATAAACATGTGGGTCTTATTAGTCATGTTGCTGTTGATATTTTTTCTTCTTAAGGAAAAAAGCAAAGTGCCTGTAAATTTTCCACCAGGTTACCAAATCACTGTTTTTGTTATATGTATAAAACTCTAAAACTATTACTCAAGAGACTATTATTTTAGGACCTAAACGTTTGCCGTATGTTGGAAACCTTTTCTCCGTCTTATTGGAGTTAAAAAAGGCAAAATACCATCACACTCTTTGGAAAACTTGGTCGATGAAATATGGAAATTTGCTTGGACTGAGACTTGGGTCTATAAACATTGTGGTTGTGTTTGGAAAGGAAATGATAAAGGAAGTATCCTCCAGGGACGCTTTCGACGGGAGACCAGACGGGTTTATGTACACTTTACGTTCTTTCGGGAAAAAGCTTGGTGAGTCTCTACATTTAAAAAAAAAATACCAACTGCGTGTCGATCTCGCCTAATAAGGTTTCTGTACACGTAATCAAATTATAAAATCATTGGCAGATTTCTAGTAGTTTATAAGTTTTCCTGTAGTTTATAGCTGACTGATTATTTTCTGTATTCTAAGCATTTTGCCTCGGAAGTTTATGCGTTAAAGGGGACACACAAATAAGACTAAAGTTAATTTCCACTTTTTTCCTTAAGTAACTTCAAAGCTCGAGATTTGTAACAGTCTTAATTTTACCATACCATGAACGAATCAACAGCTTCGCTTTCATTTTATTAATTTACGTTACTCACCGTTTTTAATCTGACAATTTGAGAGTGACGTAAAGAAGGGGGAAGACTACAAAGTTGTAAAAAAAAAGTCACTTTGACATTCTCGAGCGTGGCTAATTTTTTTTTATTTTGAAGGGAATCATTCAAAGATTACGATAAATATATAATCTGACGATTGTCACAAGCCGAAGTAATAAAAATTCATCGATAAGATTTAATGCGTTTAAGCTACGTGATACCTATATTTCCTTCTCCGCATCACTATTTCTCGCTCTTTTTTCTGTCTATTTCTCTCTCATTCCGTCCCCACTCTGGTTTCGGTTGCCATGACGCCATGACAGCTGATGACACAGACTCGTTCGTGGCGTGATATTGTTTACATCGTATTTCCAACGTTTTTGCTTATTTTGTTATTTTAATGTAAATTTTGTGAATTAAACTTTTTACATATTTACTAAGAGAAGAAGAGGAAGATGATTCTAGCGATGAAGATGATAATTAATAAAAAATACTGTAAAAATTAAATTTTCATATAATCATCTTCTTATAAATATAAGTATTTTACATAAAAAACATACACTTTTTTATTTGCATGCTAACTCCGGTGCTTTTCTATTTAATTAAGCTCAATGATTTGAAAAAATTAAAAAAAAAAATTTTTAAGTGTCAGTTTAAGTAAATCCCTTCAGATAATCGTCAGATTATTAGATATCACGTCTGGGGCATAAAGATGAACCATATATATCTTAATCTGACGCGCTTGAGTATTTCAAAATGGCGATTTTTTTTTGCACATTCTAATAATGATCACGCGTTTGCGTCACATCCAAATCGTCACATTATTATATGAGAGCTATTTTTTAGGTTCACTTGACATCCCCTCAAAAAATCTGACGCGCTCGATTAAATTATTTTTTTTTCATTTACAACCCTTACGTATAACCATCCCCATCATGGAAACGATCAGATTAACATACTACAGTTTTTAAAAATGCGTAGGACATGGATGATATTAATATCTGACGCGCTCGAGTATGTCCATACAACAGTTTTAATTTACATTTTTAAAAATCTATAGCCGCTTCCCCCACCGATGAAAAGGTATATATTATATGAAATTTTTTTTTGTAATCATCTAAGCTTCGCAACCCAATAGGTCTCTATGACGCTCGAGTAAATCCCGATTGTGGGCTCCCCTACTATTATGCATCTCACGAACCCAAATTATATTTTAAATAATAACAGGTAAAGTGACCGGCGATATAAAATCAATATTATTTAAATTTCGATTCGATTCGCGAAAGAATTTCAGAGTATTGTTGAAACGATTACAAAACCGAATTCCAGTTCAAAGTCGTAATTGTTAGCCGATCCTTATCATGTGGTGTAAAAATGCAAACAATAAAACTATTCACAAAATTATATAGGGAATGAGCGTTTCAGAAAATCCGGGAAATGATGCCATACGGGTGTGTAATATAAATAACTCCTTTAATTGGGTACTTATGCATCCGGCCGATATATTTAACAACTACCGTCCAATAATTATATTGTCATGTGTAGATAAAATAGTTGAACTATTTCTCAATGACCAAATAGATATAGATGATAGTAATAGACCTTTTAGCAAATAAAATAATAAATTCAAACCAATTTGGATTTCAAAAAAAGGAGCACTACTCAACTTTTGCGAAATTTTACAAACGAAGTAAACCTTTATTGCAGTAACTTGTGGCCGCCAGCGACTTCGTCCGCGTTTTCCATTATTTCTTTGCTCCTAATAGTTGGCAGCGTAATATTATATAGCCTAAAGCCTTCCTCGATAAATGGTCTATACAACACAAAAATATTTTTTCATTTCGAACCAGTAGTTTCTCAGATTAGCGCGTTCAAACAAACAAACTCTTCAGCTTTATAATATTAGTATAGATAAATTGCATCTAGGTATTAATTGATTTTATTGATTTTAGTAAAGCATTCGTATACAATATATGTATACGAATATTTCATATACAATATTATCACTGTTTTCTATTAAAAATTGTTTTAGGTATCGTCTTTAATGATGGTCATTCGTGGGCTAAAACGAGACGGATAGCTTTGAAATATTTTAAGAGCTTCGGTTATGGATCACGACATATGGAGGAACATATTTCTGGAGAGTGTAAGGAGCTCGTGAAAATTCTCAGTAGAACTAATGAACCACTACTAGTAAACAATATGTTTGATGTAGCAATTGTCAATGTAATATGGCAACTAGTGGCTGGCAAAAGGTACTGAGTTACTATAATCATTTAATTAACAAGCTAAATAAATAGTCGGCTAGTGTGTGTCCAATCTTGCAAGCTAATTTGACCCACTTCCCGCTTTTAAATTGGGCCGAAGTCAGTGGCGTAACTACAGGTCGGCAAAATGCCACGGCCCCCTAGCTCCAAGGGGCCCCCGGTCAGAGGGGACTCCTTATTCCTGATATTCAATATTACACAATTATTAAAAAAAAAGAATATCCAATGAATTTGCCACGGGCCTCAAACGGTATAGTTACGCCACTGGCTGAAGTGACGCAAGTATACTTATAATTATAAATGCGAAGGTTTGTGAGGATATATGTAGATGTTTGTTGCTCATTGAAAATTGTTTTTTAAACATATGTTAAAATAAAATGGTATTTAAATCAAAAGTACTAAATCTTCTTGGGAGTCACTGGGAGGACTCCAAATTAACTTTCTACCCCTTTTTAAGCTCGTTAGGCTATGAATTTCAATAATACAGGGCCGTGCAGGTAAATCCGGAAAAAATTACTGAAAGAAAAAATAAATTATATTATCCCCAAATTTTTTTTACATGCACACAACTTGACAAAATGAAAGTCCTCACCACATACGTTAATATTACTCTATATAATCCTCGTTCACCTCAACGACCTGCTCCAGCCGAGACCTGAATCGCCTACACGCCCGAGCCAGCTCCTTTCTGTTCATATTGGTCATTACCGCCGTAATTTTTTTACGTAGCGCGTCCTTAGTGTTATGAGGTTCATTGTTCACCTCTGCCTCTACTACGCCCCCCACGTAGTAATCCAGCGGATTGCAATCTGGGCTGGAGGGCGGCCACAAGTCCGGCGACCAATGATAAGGAACATTGGTATGAAGCCATGCTTGGGTGACTCTTGCCTTGTGGGCTGGCGCAGAATCCTGTGGAAGACGTATTCACGTTCATCGGCCACACGGTCCATCCACGGTTTAACGACCGTCTCTTACACGTGGATGTACACCGCCGCGTTGATTCCAGGACTCAATCTGCTCAGGAGTTAATCCGATCCTTTAACTGATCGATGAATTCACCAGTCTGCTTTCGGTCAGATCGCTTGCTGTGGCTTGCCCGGTCCGAAGTAACGTCGTCCTTGTTGTCCGCCTCTCGATAGGTTTTGGCTATCTCGTAAACTTGCGTTTTTGAGTAGCCAAACCAATCCACAATCTCCTTGGCGGTCTTCCCGGCGCGCAGTGATTCCAGGATCGCAGCTCTCCTGTCCTGTTCATTGCACATCTTTCCACTTTCACTTTATACGTTATTTTACTATCAAAGTACGCTTCTTAAGCTTTAATTAGAAACCTAGAACACAAAATCAAATAACACATCACTTCACTATACCTATCCAAACTTTTTCCGGATTTACCTGCACGGCCCTGTATATCAAACATATCTTCTGAAAAAACTGACCTATGAAGAAGTAGAAAACTTGCTGGTGCGACCTTTATGAGATTATAAGAAATGCACGTTCACATATACACTCACATACGTACATGCATACCCACACACAACTAGAATCGATAATTGCGGTCTCCGTGCTTTGGTCTTTGATGGTGTTTCAAAGTATGATCATGTGTCTGAATACCGATCATTACTCAAATGGATGCCCATTCGGCAGCGCAGACACATGCGAACTCTAACCACTCTTTACTAATTACTAGATTCACCTAATGCTCCTTCCTATCTTACTTACCCCACTTTCAATACTTGTCTACAAGTCACACTAAAAACCACGATCTGCTTCTAATCGTTTGCTCATGTGTCCTTCTCATTGCTCTAATGTACTTCGTTCTTCCTTCTTTATTAAGTCTATTCTCCTATGCGTTTAAAACTAATTTACGCAGCTATCTTTTAGAGCAAGCAGATTCCTTTAATGGTTAATCGTGTTTATATTGTATTTATATTTATGTATGTATGTATGTTTCTATGTACAATATCATATTGTATGTATCTTAAAGTATGTATATTAACTAGCTTATTACTAAACTAGTAGTGTATTCTTATAATTATTTATCTTATAATTGTGCACCTGACGACGTATTCTTCTCCACATTACCTTAAGGTTGACTAGCAGAAAATGCTGTAGCCATTGACGCCTATGTACATTTGTGCATAAAGAATAAATAAATAAAATCAAATATTCAGGACAAAGAATTGTATATAAAAAAAATCAAACATTAGACCAGAGCGTCATATCTTCGGTCTAAACGAATGAAACGATGACGTAAAAACCTTCGCCTTGAACTTGTATTGCAGATACGATTTAGAAGATGAAAATCTAAAGACACTTTGTGAATTGATCGCACGCTGTTTCAAAGCTGTAGACATGAGTGGTGGTGTGATGACGTTTATGCCATTCCTTCGGCATATTATACCCGGTCCTATAGGTTACACAGAGATGACGACCATACACGCAGCTCTACACAAGTTTCTTTCAGTAAGTCGATCAAAATAAGGAACAAGATAACAGAGTTCAAGTACAGAATCGCTATTAAATTATTGTCATACATAACGTCACCCAGTGTCAATATTTTGCGTATTCTCAATCAGTTTTATTTGTTTAATACATTTTATAAGACATTTAGTAGGTCAATGTTAGAGCTTTCATTTCATATATGTAATCGAGAATTAAATAAAACAAGTATATAGAATAATTAGCTGTTTTCCAACGTTTTCGCCCGCGTAAAATAAAAGCTATGTCACCGTATGATGTATGTGAAAGAATTTTCGAATGACCGAATGATAATGATCGAATCAGTACTTCTGATAAACTAACGAAAAAAGTGAAATACTTTATCTCTTCAATTTTTTTTGTATATACTAGGTATTTTAATGATATATATATTTATATTGATGTTACAAAAAATACGCAGTTGGTTTATTTCATACATCGTCTAAGCAAGCACTATGTTATTTGTCAGGACTCTTCCAGTTATTTTGTTACAAACAAAATTTTAATTTGCTCTTATAATTAAATTCACTGTGTAAATATATTGATACTCTGTATTCTGCAGATTTAAGTGGGCTGACATATAAATATTGACTATGTGTATGCTATACAGTAAATTATTCCAACATATTTTATATTTAAATTACAGTTATTATCGTCGTGACTACTAGTTATTTACAGATAAGAGAGAATCCGATGTCTTGTTTTGCCAATAATGATGACCGTGAAATGATTTTTTTTGATTACATAATATATTATTATTGTTATCAATTTTAAAACAAACAATAAAAATATATAAAATTTCTCACCAATCCATAAACTCAATTTTACGAATAATTTTGTTTCATTTAGGGTGGGTACATCATTAGCAAACCAGTCAAGCAATATTTTGTACTAATTTTGATGATGTCAGTCAATTATAGCAGCAACCATTGCGAAAAAAATATTGTACTCCTTACGTATATAATCATCTATTATTCCAATTATTCTTATTCTTATTTGGTAGTTTAAATAATAAAAAATGTAGCAAGTCTTAAGTGGACAAGGCTGTAGGTGGCGTGTATATCACTTTTAGAAGGAGGGCAATATTACCAAACGTAAAAATTGCGAAATTGCAAAAAACGTTAGGCTTGAAGATTGAAATAGTGTACTACTAATTCTTGGTTTGAGACTAGCGCACCCACCCTAATTGTAATCTAATATAATTTATGTTCGGGATTGTTACAGAAAGTCATCGAAGAACACAGAACCACTCTTGATTTAGACAACCCTAGAGATGTGATAGACTCTTTTTTAATAGAAATGCATCAAAACAAAGAAAATTCATGTAAGTATATAACAGATTATTTTAACGAGCAATATACTTTTTCAATTTCACATAGGTATGTACGAAAATTTTAAACAAGGCCATTGTAAAACCTAGTACAATATATGGCAATATACAGAGAAGTCAAACTTGAATTAACTTTCACAAACTAGAAAAAAATAAAAGGCAAGTTTATATTTAAAACAAAAAGAGTATTATGTATTTTTTGTCAAACGCATGAAATGGGCATGATTATTCCAAACTCCAATAAAATCATTCATGCTCTACTATTATAATATTGTAAATAATAGTTTTAATTATATAGAAACATCAATATTACAAAAAGCATGGTTTTATTTTCTTAATTAGAACCGACTGCAAACTTTAAAAAAGTGATAAATATTATTTATCGTATAAGCGACTTATTCATTAAACTTTGTGATATTGATATTTTTTATATAATCATAGGAAACGTTAAGCCGTTGGTCCCGGCTGCATTTGCAGTCGTTAATACCCTCCAATCCGCATTGGGCCAGCGTGGAGGGTCATGGCCCATCCTCCTTAACCATCCATAAGGAAGGCCTGAGCCCCTGCAGTGGGGACGTAAAAGGGCTGGTGATGATGATACAAAAATATGTCAATAAAGTAAAAGTAATTTTGTTTTTGTTTTGCCTTAAGGATATTTTGTTTATTTGCTCGACATAACTTCCATATTCTCCTCTAATTTCAATATCCTTGACAATATTCCTTAGATATTTTCAAATAATCTTTACTCATATTATGAAGAGAAAAAATAAAAGATTTAATTGCTTGTTTTCTTGCATTGGATAGGCTTCGTAACTATTGGACCGATTATAAAATACTTCCATATACTAGGGGCCAATTCTACTAAATAAATTTTGTTTAAGTCGAATCGAAAACGGATCGGAACCGAACGAAACTACAGTTTTTAATGGTTCTTCTATTCTACTAAGTGACATACGATATAATTCCAGCTAAAATAGAACTGGATTTAGTAGAATTATTAGGCGTAGTCGCGAGGAACAAATTTGGTCCACAATTCAAGAAGAAATCGATGAACATACCTACTTACAAAAAAAATATACATACCCTTATTGATTCTTTTTAAATCACTTTGTCCCTGGTACCTTGAGATGGGATTTTTTAACATTTTTCAGTAAACCTCGACCTTTCGCAATCCTCCCGTAAAAGCAATGCATACAACTTCGTTTCTACAATTTAAGTTACAGGGGAAGAACTACAAGTTGTTTGTCTGGACATGTTCGAGGCTGGCGTGGAGACAGTAAAAAATACAATGGTCTTCATGCTACTCTACCTGGTTCGTGAACAAGAAGTTCTGAGACGGCTGCAAATAGAAATTGATGAGGTCGTTGGGAAAGATAGAACACCGACTTTATCGGACAGATCGAAGCAAGTAGTTATTTAGAGCGTTTCAATTTTTTCTTCTAATCACATGTCCATTCCGAGATCTGTTCTTCCTCAATATTTTTGCACTGGCATTACTTTGAAACTTCCTCTAATGTACTCATTCTTCACTTACATTCTCATTCTTCACATACACATCCATCTTAGCTTTACCACCGAGTACTCCGTTCCATACAACAAGACAAGCTTATTATTGTGGTCATTATGATCCAATTAATTTTCCCTTTCAATTGCTTATATATTTCATTATTATTTCTTTCAGAATGATATACACAGAAGCGGTTATATTGGAAACATTGAGAATAACGAGTGTAGCACCGGTTGGAATACCGCACATGGCATTAGCTGATACACAACTAGGAAACTATAACATACCAAAGGTAGTTCATTATAAAATGATATACAGTAGAACTCCAATTATCCGAACTCCGACTATCCGAATCGCCGATTATCCGAATCACAAAAAATTGTCCAAAAAAAGTCTAAGTGCGCTATTATTCTCCCCCCCGCGAAGCCAGTGTTTGCTCGTCAAGTCTTGACTTGACTTGTCTTAACTTGCCGTTGTGCCTACACTGACTTCCCCCCGCGTGTGTAGGCACAACGGCAAGTTAAGACAAGTTCCGGCGCATTGCAGTCACGGCGCACCTGTCATTGTTTGTTTTGATTAGCCAGTGTGCTATTGACCTTGCTCGAGGACGCTACTCTTTCGCTACGGCTTACTTTTGTTTGTGCGTGTACAATACTGTATTGTTTTTATACCATGGCTTCGAAAAGAAAACGTGTTGTGCTATCGTTAGCGGACAAACTGAAAATTATAGAGCAACTCGATAAAGGTGTAACGGGTAAGAAGTTGTCTGAGATTTATGGTGTTGGACAAGCAACAATTTCTGACATTAAAAACAGTAAGTCAACACTTTTAAACTTTGTTTCGGTGCTTGAAAATGAAGATGGAAGTTCCTCCAGGAAAACAATGAAGACAGCAACCAACAAAAATTTGGAAGATGCCGTGTTTAAATGGTTTTTGCAGCAACGTTCTATGGGAAATCCGATTTCAGGTCCAATCCTTTGTGAAAAAGCCAAAATCTTTGCAGAAAAGCTTGGTTATTCATCTTTTAAGGCTAGTAACGGCTGGCTAAGGAATTTTAAATTCAGGCATGGTGTACGCGAGTTAGATTTGGCTGGTGAGAAGCTTTCAGCAGACTCTGCAGCTGCTGAAAATTTTATTGAAAAATTTAAAACTGCATCAGAATCCTATGATCCGGAGTTTGTTTATAATGCCGATGAAACTGGCCTTGTTTGGAAAGCATTACCAAAAACCACTTTGACTTCTAAAAGGGAATCTAGTGCCCCTGGACATAAGGTCAGTAAAGAACGTGTTACAGTGCTTAAATGTGCCAACTCCACTGGAAATCATAAACTGCCACTTCTTTTGATAGGAAAATCAAGAAATCCAAGAGCATTTAAAAACGTAAAAAAACTTCCACTCTTCTACAAAAGTCAACCCAAGGCCTGGATGACTGCAGCTTTGTTTACCGAATGGTATGATGAAGTGTTTTTTCCTGAAGTGAAAAAGCACCAAAAATCGGTGGGAAAAGAAGGCAGTAAGGTGCTTTTAATTGTTGATAACGCACCCACTCATCCTACAGCAGAACTGTTGGAAAGAGAGAATGGGCAGTTCAAAACGACGTTTTTGCCTCCCAATGTTACAAGTTTGCTGCAACCCATGGACCAGTCTGTTATTGAAACAATGAAGCGCCATTACAGAAGGCAACTGCTGAGAAAACTGCTGAACGAAGGTGCTGAAGATGAAGAATTGGTTTTGGCAAATCATAGCAAAATAAATTTAAAGGACTGCTGTTACATGGTAGCGGAAGCTTGGAGTTTGGTTACAGCAGTGACGCTAAGACGTGCGTGGAATAAACTGAAAGGCCTACCGTCTGAGAAGAACAAAAAAAAAAGAATCTGAAGAAAATGAGAAACAAGAATATGGAGAGGATGATGATGATAAAGATGCGTTGTCACTAGAGGAAATAAGAAAAATGATTGTAAAAATTCCTGGTTGTACAGAAGTAAGTGCTGAAGATGTAGGAGAGTGGATGGCTTGTGACACGTCTGACCCTGGTTTTCAAATTCTCAATGACGATGAAATTGTTGTAAGTGTGAGAGAAGATGTTGAAGTGGAAGTGGAAGAAGAACTTTCTGCTGATGTTGAAGTAGACGCTGGACCATCAGCTAGTGAAGCATTTGCCGGCCTCGAGACTGCTTTGAAGTGGATGGAGCGTCAGCCCGAGTGTGACCACTTGCAACTGCTCACCGTCAAGCGAATGCGTGACCTGGCTGCCCGAAAACGGTTGAAGACCGCAAAACAGCTTACATTGACGGAGATGTTTAAAAAACAATGATTTTTATTTCTAAACTTGTACATAAGTACATTTTATTTATATGTTTTAATGTGAAAATTTCATGTTTCTTTCATTTAATTCAATAAAAAAATAGTGCAATATCAAAACGTAGCTTTTATTCTCTCCAATGGCAATTTTTTTTTTAAAAATCCGATTATCCGAATATTTGATTATCCGAATGGGTCCCGGTCCCCATTAATTCGGATAATTGGAGTTCTACTGTAAAAGCTATCATAAAATGACTGCCTTATATCTCATAAAACTTCATATAGATCGTATCTTGCCCAAATTTCTAGAATTAAACTAGGAATATTATTGTATGGGTTACGCTTAGATTATTTAATATCTTTAATCTAAGGGTTTACGCTTAACGTTGTAAATTATCACAAAGTTAACCTTTTTTTGAGCCTGAGAAATGCGTTACGCATACCCGCTCCTAGTCAAATAGCAGGGGCATACCCACTAAAACTCTCGCTGGGTTTTAGCGGGTATGCCCCTGCTAATTGATGGTCTTCGAGCTGCCCCGTGCATCCCTCTTCATGGAGGCGATACACGGGGACAGCCCGAAGACCAAGGCCCGAAGTCGTTCGCCCCCATTTCGGTACACCACATGCAGGGCGGGTCTCTCTGCGGATTGGGGGTACTTCTCATAGACGTTTGAGATGCACCCCCAGACAGGACGAGGGCATGCAGTGCCCAGCCAGCGCGCAAACCGACCGAACAGCCCCAGAACTGAAATTGCGCAATTGTTCATAATTTAACATATGCTACTGTAGGTATACTTTTCTGAAAATCACTTTGATCTCAGTATGTAGCTTATATTGTTTATAAACAAGTATTTATTCTAAAAAATAGAATCGTCTTTTGAACAAGAGATTGGGTAAAAACAATATTAGTTTTTAATTAATTAAAAATTAAATTTTTCGTATTTTAAATAAAATTAGCTTTTAAAGATTTGTTTTTGTCTTTCCAACAAGAAAAGGAAATAAAAATTATTTACGTTGAGAATTTTTGAAGGAGATGAACCATCTTTGAAGAAGCTGATAACTGGTGATGAAAAGTGGATCACATCCGGCAAAAACGTGTGAAAAAGGTCGTAGTACTTCTTTTTCTGTGTTCTGTGGTCGTAGTCAAAGGTTGGTCAGGCTTCACAGACTGTAGCGAAACCCGGGTTAACTTGCAAAAAGGTGATACTGTGTGACCAGTGGGATTGGAAAAGTTCGATTCTCAACTCTACTACGAACATCAAGCAAGAAGTTGAGAGAAAACGGCCAGAATTAATCAATAGAAGAGGCGTGATAACGATTTCATCATGATAACGCTAGACCTCACACATCTTTTGCCACTCAGCAAAAATTAAGAGAGCTTAACTAATAGGTGTTAATGCATCCGCCGTATAGTATTTCCTCAGTATTCCTCATAGAATTCTTCAGCAATGTCAGGTTAACATCACGCGTGAACTGCCAAAACCATTCGTCGTGGTATTTTTGATAAGAAGCTCCAAAATTTCTATAACAATGTGATCATATCTCTACCTAAAAGAGGGTAAAAAGTTATCGTACAAAATGGTACCTACATACTTTAGTTAAATGTAAATAAACTTTATTAAAAATGTTTTGAATTTTCATATATAATGCGAAGAAACTTTTTCTCCAACCTATTGCTACAACCCAATAGTCTGCATGTGTCGCCTATACAATGAAATTTTTGCACTTGACAGGGACGTCGACATATTTCACTTATCTTTTGGTCGGTTCCGGAATTATTTAAGGCGATTCCCAGGTAGCAAAATTCGATACCATAGAAGTTTCAAGAACGTTTTAACTTGTGCTAATAAGTTTTATAGTGACATTTCAAACCCCAAATAGGCCCTAGTTTTATCACCAATTTGTTCTAAAAACGTAACATAAATGCTCTATATCATAGAATGTAATCGCTTTGTTAAAAACCGTTATAGTACAACCAATCACAGTGGTAACTATTACAGATCTTTTTGATAACTGTATTATTTTACTCGGGTTATTATTTAATCAATGATTTTTTTATCTTTCAGAGTTGGTACATGTAATATATAAATAGAGTACCATTTAAATTATACATAATCATCTATACTATAATAAAACCGTAACCGATCGATGTCTGTACATTGAAGATATATGAAAAAAACTGTTATGAGGGACATTTATAAGAGTAATAGAACACAAAACATTGATTTTTAAATTTTTTGTCGGTTTGTCTGTTTGTCTATGCGTCTGTACACGATAATCTCAGAAACGGCTGAACCGATTTATATGCAGTTTTTATTTAGCATTCTTCTGTTAACATTTAGTGTAAGATTTATTTCAATCGGTTCACAAATAAAAAAGTTATGTCAATTTGAAGTGACGTGGTCGCCAAAATTGCTATGAAATATTTACTGTTTTATTAAATTTTCGTCTTTGATATATTAATCATCATCATTAATTCTTTCACAGCCAAACTGCAGGGCCTCAGGCCTTTGTTTAATAATTTTTGGTCACCCATCCCGTGAACAACTCTTGCGAAAATTGCTTAGCAATAGCGATCGTGCGCAGCGGCGCATATCCGTACCGCCACCGAGCTACGAATTAATATTGTCTATAAAATGATAATTTGTATGATGACAAATAAAAAAATAAGATTCCAAAATTTTGACATCTCCGAAGTAAGTTGACCTCGTTTATATATGGCCAATCATATTAAATAGGGTTCAGCTTATAATGGAGATGTGGTATACGATCACACGAGTAGGAGAACAAGCGGAAACAGCCTTCCGATGATGCAATTAAGCCTCGAGTAGTTTACAGTGAACGCATATTTTTATCAGATTAGGTTCACGTCGTCGTCGGGGCCAACGGAGGTGGTTGGCAGCCGCTCCCACATTGCACGGTTTCGTCTGTCTGGGAGAGGCACTCGATTTACCAGAGTCTCTCCAATTTTCCATCTGCAAGGGAACCAATGGTCCCATACTTGAGTGTCCTGGTGACTCGGCCATAGCTTGCCGGTTTTCATTTCCCATGAGAGGGTGTAGAGTACGGGTTTTGGTGGGTAGGCCTCTGGGGACCCACCGGGCAGCTCACTATCGGGTTCACGGAGGAGAATCCTACTCACCCCTGTTGCTTGCCAGGTAACAGAGACAATGTCAGATGTTTTTCCACGACGTTAAAAAATGTAGATTCACGTCCACAGAAGTTAAAAACGTAAAGACAACTCGAGTTATATACATTTTTTTCTCTTATTGCTATATTTTTATGTTAATACTCTTTTGTTTTTTTTTTAACATACAAATTGCTGTAGATACGTACTTCAAAGTTGGTATTTTCAGTCTTCGCTGGCAACACTCATAATATTACGCGAGTCTGAGGGTCGGTTCAGAGTAGCTCGGTGGCGTAGTGAATAAGTATCATGGCCCGCGATTGTAGTTGTTAAGCAACTTTCGCAAAGGTCGGGCACAGGATGGATGACCAAAAAATATTATCTCAAGCAACTCCAAGCACGTAAAGCGATTAGTCCCGGTTGTATTTGCAGGCGTTAATATCCTCCAATACACATTGGGCCAGCATGGAGGGTCGTGGCCAATCCTCTATAACCATCCATAAGTAAGCTCCTGCAGTTGGTGACGTAAAAGGGCTGATGATGATGAGGGCCGTTCAAATCTGACAGAACCTCAGTTAAGCACCTCACGGAAGTATGTTAGTATACGATTTCCTTCGAGTGTGGAAAGTCAAAATTAAAATATGTTTATATTTTTTTATATCAATAAATAAAACTCCACGTATCTTCCGCGAAAACGCGAAGCGTATTTAACTGCCCATCGCAAGGCTCGTGCACTATAAAGTTGCATCTGAAGCATTTACATACATGCAGTATGGTATGAGCATGAAACTTCTTTTGATAGGGAAATGCGCTTGGTCTCTTAAAGAGCTCGCAGTTTGCACAATAGAGATCGAGAAAGTAGTTTCGATTATCGCCAACCCGTGTTGACTTCATACTCCATAGGCGTACCGCAGATAAGTTTTCACAGGGTATAATGAACTAGCTATTTTCCCACGACTTTGCCGCAAAATTTTAGCCTGTGACATGCGCGTCAGATGTAGCTTCGCGTAGGTCGGAATCGCTCTGCAACTATCGGTCCAGTAGTATTGGAACAAATTCAATGCAAACAAACAAACAACCAAATCTTTCCTCTTTATAATATTAGTATAGCTTAGGTATAAGAGGTCTGATGGTGTAGTGGGTTAGCGCATCCGGCTTAAATTGAAGTAAAATAAGTAAGTAAATACTGCACAACAAGAACATACATGAAAACTTATTTTACATAACTAAGTAGCCAGCAATTTCTTCCAGGCAACCTAGCGTTACATGGAAAATAGAACAATAAATAGCCGATTGTGCATACAACTAGACAAATAATAATAATTTAAAAATATCAAAAACAAAAGAAGGACCGTTTAAAGGTATGAATAAAATGCTCAGACACAAGCGACAACCAGAGCGCGAAAAACGAGAAAAAAATAGAAAAATAACATTCGTAAGGACCGTTTACAGAACATTATTGTCTTGAGCACTGTGCACAACACTGGCATAATGCACGTTAAGCCGTTAGTCCTAAAATAAACATCTAATTTTAATCTCAATTTAGTTAAACTTTATCTAGTTTTTATTCAATCAGAATATAATTGTAATTCAATGTAATCTAATGTTCATATAATGCTAGCTAGCAACTTAATTAGTAATCACTGAATTTAAGTTATTTGGATTGTTTTTTAATTAATAAAGATTCATTTTAATCCATACAGTGTACACAAGTTCGTAGATTGCAGTTCAGGTGAAAATATTAATTAAATTGTTATTGTAATACAATTATCAATTGTAATCTGTTTTGTTTGCCATTAATAAATAAACGTCACGCAATAATCTATCTAGGGCGCCGCACTTGCGCTTTCCATAAACCACTTGTGAAAAATTTTCAATTATTTTCCAAATCTAAAATTTAATTATTTTGTAAAAGGCAAACAGCATTTTCAGGCTATAATTTCCAATATATTTCAAATAATGTTTTTTTATTCGAGTAAAAAGTTAATTATTTGTTCCATGAAAATTGTAATCTATATGAATGAGATTATATATATATATATTAATGAGATTATTACGATCACTTAAAACGAATAACTCCATTTTTTCATCAAAGCAAATTAATAATATAATCTTTATATATATCTAATACCTTCACACGAGCACTTATCTCTTCCCTATACAAACTTATACACGCTCATGTAGAGCTTAAAAAAGAGCTTTGTTGATTGCGGTCAAACTATAACTAAGTTTACCTCAAATCCTTTTAAACGTAAGCTATCGAAAAAGAACCTATGTATGTATATGGAATCTCATTTTAAAAATATAAATGTGAGAATAAATGGTTTCCAGCTACAATAAAACAAAGAGATTTTTAAATATTTTCTTTGCAAAAAATTAAAGGCAAAATGTTATTCCTTCATATTTTCTCTGCAGGGTACTTTCATATTGTTTGGCTTACATGACCTCCATAACGGGAGCCGCTGGAAAAATCCAAGCGAATTCAGGCCAGAAAGATTCCTTACAAATGAAAGTAATCTAATGCATGACGAATCGCTTATGCCTTTTGGCTGTGGTAAGTTACATGGTCGATTCAAGTTTCCTTAATTTTAATATAAGTGTTTAACCTATGCTGCAGTGCTATTACCTTTACGCAGCGCTGTTACTGTGCTGAAGTTCAATCAAATAAAACCTACTTGAAAATTGTTATAGGTTTTATTTCTTTAAAGCTCTATTCCTGGATACACAATAGTTTCACTGATTCGTGTAACTATGATATCTAGCAACTTCCACACCCAGTCAGTACCTACCCGTCATACCTGCTGTGTACCGCCTGCACATAAATTTACATGTACAAACGGCTACAAATCTCGCAAAATCACTAATCTACACCTGTTTCCACGTTAGACCTTACAATGCTTACATTTTTTTATTTTATTTTTTTTATTGTTGCACGACAAAGTGACTGTACCTGCTGTAATAATAGTCGCAGCTGTAAGAAGTCGAAACTACTCCCGGTAGCCACCACTATCTTGCCGGCCTGATAAAGAGCCTTTTGACACCTCTTTTGAAGCACCCAAGGTTATTTTCAATTGGAAATACGTGGGATGGGAGACAGTTCCACATTTTATTGGTACGGCAAATATATGATTTGCCGAATTTCTTTGTACGAAATGGTATAGTACAAACAGTCTGGGAATGGCAGTGAACACCGGCACGTGTCAACCTGTTACGGAAGGAGGAGAGGGGAATGATCTTGAATAATTCTTCAGACCACTCTCCATTATACAAATGATAGAACACACTCAATGAGGCAATATCACGCCTCATTTGCAGTGGATCAAGATTCTTGGTTAACACTTCATCGTTTATGATGCGTACTGCTCGCCGCTGCAGCCTATCCAGGGCATCCAACAGATATTTTGCTGAGTCATACCAAAGATGCGGACAGTACTCCAAGCTAGACCTGACCTGGGTTTTATATAGCAAGCACCGTTGCTCGGGTGTAAAAAACGGGCGCACTCTGTTTAAATTCCGAGTCTGCGAGAGGCAGCAATTATCGGTGGTTGGTACTGTAAGGTCTTGATTTTGCGAGATTTATTGGCGTTTTTACATATGAATTTGTGTGTGAGTGGTACACAGCCGGTCTTGCGGATACTGACTGTGTGTGCAAGTTGCTAGATATCACAGTTTTACGATTATAGCAATGGACTTCCGCAAAATAACGCCTGATTTTATTAAATGCTCTATTCTGTGACAGTGGTGAGTTCGATGACAAGTTCGAGATTATTTTTAATATAATAGCATAGCTGTTTAAATTCTACGAGCTAAGAAGGGTATGAAGTTGTTATAGTACAAGCATTTAAACCTTTTTTTTTCAGGTAAAAGACGGTGTATCGGAGAAAATTTAGCTAAGTCTGAGTTATTCATGTTCATCACTCATATACTGCAGAAGTTTAACTTAAGAGTACCTGATGGCGACCCTCTTCCAACTGCTGAGCCTTTAGATGGCCTAACTCTGTCTGCCAAACCTTTCAAGTTACTATTTCAACAAAGAAATTGATTTAAGTCATAAAGCTTCCTTTATTGAAATACATTGCATGTTCTTCTATGGTTTTTTTATGTAATGAAAAGAACTTATTAGACTTAAATTAGTCTAAAAACAGGGGAAACCTTAGTTATTATAACTATAGGGATTGGACAAAAGAAACAAGAAAAAAATGGTATCCAATAAATTACCGGTATAAAATTTTGTTTTCTTTTTTAACAATTTACCTATAACGTTAGAGAGACTGTATGGACTGGATGTGCTAATTCAAAGGTATACATCGAATCATTTATCGAATTTAAATCAAGTACCTATTTATCAAATTTCACTTTGAATTAAGTGAATTATGCTTTAGATATTTAATTTGGGATCAGCCCTGCGATTCTGTAGATATCCAAATACGAATTAGAATCCACTCAGGTGTCCAAATTCACTTGAAAAAGCGGCATCCGTATTGGTAATAACGTTTCGTGGCAAAAGTAAAATGAGTTTCGAAATATTCAATCAATTATCTTTGGTATTTTTATACAAAACATGGAATCAATAGAATTTCTACACTAAATTACATGAATTCGGTCACGAGTGAATTCAAATTCGGGTCTGGATTTTTATAGAATCGCAGGGCAGAGTTGAATGTATAAGATGTTGTCTTATTTATATTCCTCCTGTGCCCGAAGATTGATGACTAATGTTTATCAATATACCAACAGATTTTTACTACACTATTAAAATGAATAGACATGAAATTTTAATATGATATAAATAATTAAATTATTTATATCAATAATTAAAAAATCTTCGTAACGCCATAAGAAAAACTTCGTGCATTGCACTGCTGCCTGATTACTATTTCAAATCATATTACTGTATCTTTTACAACTGACGTAAATAACCTTGTTACGATCTTCCGGGTTTCTCGTATATCAGTAATTTATTTAAAATTGATTTATAACTCAACTCGGCAGCGGATAGCTGACGGCTTAGTGGATATGCGCCACGGTCCGTGTTGTTAACCAACTTTCGCAAGGGTCGGTTACGGGATGGGTGACCAAAAAATTACTATCTCGAACTACTCCGTGCTTCGGAAGGCACGTTAAGCCGTTGATCCTGGCTGCATTCGCAGTCGTTAATACCCTCCAATCCGTATTGGACCAGCGTGGAGGGTCATGGCCCATCCTCCTTAACCATCCGTACGGAAGGCCTGAAAATAAAATATACGATATCATATTATTATACACTGATCACATTCCTCCCCTAAGTAGGTAAAGTTGGACATGGACATTTGTAACAACGAATATACCACAACTATTTATACCTAAGACTATAAAGAATATTCAAGTAATTTTGGGTTTTTCAACCCTCATCTGCGAAAAATTCATGAGAGGAATTTATATAATAACAATTATTAGTGTGTTGTGATGACAATGTAAAAAATGGACATTAATTTCGTGCCGGCATTAAAGGTCACGACAACCACCTTTGATCTCTTATTTTCAGAAATGTCTCGTATCCTCTTAACAGGAATGTCTCGTATCTTAGGTAGAGAAAGCGGCTAGAACTCATTCACTCGAATTGCAGTGATCGTCTAATAGCCGGTTAAGACAACCGGCCATTAGACGATCACTCTGAAACGTGATCAGATCAAAGTTGCATATTTGTGACAAAAATCAAATTATCTGTATAATATGTGATTTATTTCAATCTCGCATCAAACAATCCCATTTTGGCGCCAGATTGAGCGTCTAATAGCTCGATTAAGTATTGCATACCTAAGCATAAATCCTATTATTTTTATTCATGTTTTGGAGCAGCTTGTTAAAAAACAGACAATGAAATATGTTTTTGACAAATACTTCTTCTATACACTTAGTATAAAGCAAATTTGCTTCCCACTGTCTATCTATACACTGAGACCTTTTAATCTACAAAACTGATTGTAATTTTTATAAATATACAGAATGATTCAAGAGGGAATTTTATATCTATAACATAAGACAAGCGGACGGAGCCGTTGGCGGAAAGCTAGTTTGGTGATAAAACATTAATAATATCAATACGCCTCTAATGAAAGAGGTCCATAATAATTATTTATATTAATAAGTCACACGCATCGTTATTATGTCGTTGGAGCAATGTAGTTCTTTATATATTTAATAATTTGTTTAGGAGTTCATTCTTCAATAGCATACAGCTGTTCTGCTGTTCTCCACTCTTGAAAATCGATGTAGCACACGCATGCGTGAGACTATTCTTCGGACAACTGTCAAGTGCCACCGGCCAAAATTATTTGTTATTGTTAGAATCTGTACGTTTAAGTAAATCCATCTGTTTGATCTCATAGTAAATTGTCCATATTCCTCTCTTTGTGTTAGCAGAACACAAAATTAATGATAACACTTGTTTTTTGATAAAATAAACAACAAAAAGGATACGACTGTTGCTTAATCATTTACTTGACGATGTATCTCGTTGTGGAGAATATGTATACAGTGAAAATAGTGCAAAAGTTATATAAAACCTGAACACAAGAACAGAAAGAGAAAACATCGATAAACGAACATAAAAATGGTAGTGTTTTTAATGAAGTAATTAAGAAGTCTTTCTAAAAGCAATCAAGGGAATCAAACTAGGTGGGGATTATATAGAAATGAAGAAAGAGTAATTGAACTAAGAAGGTGCAAACATGAATGAGACTCTGGGACGCGGTTATGCTCGCATAGAGGCGATACGAGCGGCACGCGGCGAGCCTCTAGGAGCGATGACAGACCCTGGTGCTCCGCCCCCTGACCGATATAACTCTGTTTATTTCACACTCTTTGTTGCCGGAGCTGCTTTTCTTCTTCCTTTTAACAGGTAAATTAAGACAAGATATTTGATTTATGCTTAATTGATATGTTACGTGTAGTAATGAATTCATCAATAATATTTGAGCTTATCAAAGTAGAAGATTAATAAGAAAAATATAATGTTGAACTACATCATTTACTTTCTGAACTGTTAAAAATCAAGGAATTAGGCTTAATCAACAACAGTTTTACAGAAGACGGAATTTTATTTGATAAACATAATAATCGGGTTGAGCTGTAATGGACTAGTAATTTAAAATATTGTATTGGAAATATTGGTTTACATAAAACCGAATTAAGTTAACAATTAATTGATATTGTTGTTTTCAAAAATTTTAATAACGTTATAAGCATACATAAGGCGGAGAGTGTGCGTGGGAAGGAGCAATGACGTAAAATGTGCGTTTTTGTATAATATTTTGGATATGATAAGAATAAGATGAACAAAGCTAACCCTATAATACCAAACACACCAAAGGGTGGCTAAATCGGAATAACGAGAGATCCTCAATGTTTTCTAGGCTGAAGGAATCTCCTCGCTAAGGGACTATTCCGCCATAGCTTCTTCAGGGCTTTCATTTGAATCTCATCAGCACAGCTTAACTAAAACATGGACCTCTGCTCTAGTTGTATATAGAAATACATCGTAACTGCAAAATGGCAAATTTTTGCAATTAATTCTCAACATAACTATAAAATAAAGATTTAATGAACAGTCTTTTTCACAATAATTTCTATTAAGTATTAAAAAATCGGCAGAGGTCCCGCTTCTGGCCATTTCAAGATCAAGACCTAGTTTTGGCCATTTTAAGAATTACGAGCAAGTGAAATTTGGTACATCATATTTAAAAATGGTATTAATTTTGAAATAGCGCTACAACTTTAAAAACTATTTACGGTAGAGTAAAGTATTTATCTATGTCTTAGGTAGAACGCCTTGAAGTTCCAAATGGTCAAAAAGGCGGTAATGGCCAAAAACGGATTTTCTGCCCTATTATCAATTAGTCTTAACTGTATCAAAATCAAGGGCGAACTTTTCATATTCCTTTTTGTGCAGTTTCATCATGGCAGTAGACTACTTCCAGCACCATTACCCCGACACAACTATCATGTTCGATATGTCAACGGTGTATATCGCTTCTGCATGTGTGGCCGTCGTTACTAACAATCTCTTGTTAGACCTTTTCACATACAACACGAGGATTACCTTCGGTGAGTTATGATATCAATGAAAAACAAAAAGATACAATAAATAACTATAAAAATTCATAGATAATTAACAATTATCATTTTGAATTAATCCTCTTTTTGATCAAGATCCTGTAATTGTATTATAAACATACAGGTTTAATAAAAACCTGTATGTTTATAATACAATTACAGGATTTATAACATAATAATCGAGTTACTTATTTATTATAATTTGAGCACCTGTTCTATTTTTATCAGCAATTACAGAAAAATATGACCTTTTCACATACAACACGAGGATTACCTTCGGTGAGTTATGATATCAATGAAAAACAAAAAGATACAATAAATAACTATAAAAATTCATAGATAATTAACAATTATCATTTTGAATTAATCCTCTTTTTGATCAAGATCCTGTAATTGTATTATAAACATACAGGTTTAATAAAAACCTGTATGTTTATAATACAATTACAGGATTTATAACATAATAATCGAGTTACTTATTTATTATAATTTGAGCACCTGTTCTATTTTTATCAGCAATTACAGAAAAATATGATTAATTTACGCCTGCGGAATAAAAAACATCACTACATATTATAAAGTCGTCGGTCTCTTCCGTTAACCTTTAACCTTTCTTGTCAGTAACTTAAAATAAAAACGAGATGAAAAACGTCATTAATTAGAAAACAAAGAAGAAGAGATAAAATATAATCCAATGCAGTGTCGCCATTGATAGAGTTCGTTATATAATGACCGCATAGCCCACTTACTCACCGAGCTGTCAAATTTGATCGCTTGGATTCAAATGACAAAATAACTTGACAGTTAAACTCGGTTAGCGCCTCAGAAAAAACAATATATTTCACTGTAGAAGCTTGCAATAATCGTTAAAATATGATTACTTTAAGCTAGCGGCTGAAGTTGGTTAAATTGCAATAGCAAACTCTATCGAAACTGCATAACTGTCTTTGGCTCATCTCTGCTGACGCAAACTTAATTGTAGGAGCTTTTTTACGAGATATTTGTTACTAAAGCACAAAGTAACAAATGAATAAATCATCAAGATTCATCATTGAATCATCAATACTCCATGTAGATAATGAATAATGTGCGAAATAGGACATCAGGCACTCTTTTTATTTTATTAAATAAAACTACTTTTAAGTTTATAAGTGTTCGCTTATATTTTAGAGTAAGATGTTGGTAGTCTTTTCGGTGAACTTTATTAGCGACGCCCAGACCGTACTGTATTATATAATTGTTTATATGTTTTTTCACGCTCACTACTCAAAATAAAACTACTTATAAGCTGTTTGTGTAGTAAGCAGTGCCGGTGAAAATATAAGAATGGTAATTATACACAATTATTGTATGTGTACCTCAGTTACATAAAGGGGTTCCATCCCTCACGAACTAAAAGGCTATCTGTCTACCCAAGTTGCATCTTGACGCACTTGGTTGAAGCATTGCCTATTCAGCAGTAATAAATTAAGATCAAAAACTAGCGCCTATATATGCCAATATATATGCCAACACTACAACCAGAGAAATGTTCATTTCAAAATATGTACATATAAAATAAAAAAATATTCATATAGTAAGCTGGAATGGATAGATATTTTATTCGACATTTATAAATATGTACTTGTTTGTTCTTTGTAAACAAATTAATTGAATATGTTTAAGGTATCCTGGTGTCTCTCGCTACAATGTTGTTCGTGGCAGTGTGTAATATAGGCTGGGATGGATTCTCGATGCGTGTATCGTACACCATAAATTTGGTTGCCATAGGCGTAGTCGCCTTCGGCTGCACAGTCCAGCAGGCATCTTATTACGGCTTCACTGGATGTTTACCACCACGTTACACCCAGGCTGTGATGGCAGGAGAAAGTAAGCATTATTCTCATCTCTAGAAATATTTCCAATGATTTCTTTCATGAAAAATCTGAAAAATCTTGATAAGGACATTAGAGCCGTTGTATCTTTATAGGCTTATCATTTCATTGATATATGTACCTCCATGTTCTGTACAATGTCGATTAGTACAAAATATTTATTAGCATAATGACTTTAGAACACGTTAAACATCCACAAAAATTGATACAGTATGTTTCATATGAAACGCATATGAATCTTCATTTGTGCATAGTATGAATTGACGGGTCGTCAATTCAAACGATGACCGAAGGAATGATTAAAATACAGTCTTTTAGGCAAGTCCTGATTATGAATCTGAATAATACGGTTGGTTATCACTGGCAATAATTGGTCTACTCTGCGCAAACGAATATTCATAATGCGCCATATTATTGGGAACTTATTGTACCAAAGCTTATATTAGGACTTATCAATTTAGCAATCAGCAATACGTCGGTAAAGCTGTAAATATTTTTGTAGGCGCTGCCGGTTTCTGGGTATCACTAGACCGAATCGTCACCAAATACGGTTTTCGGCAACCACGCCGCAGCACATTCATGTTCTTCGTGTTCTCTATTCTTATATTGCTGGGGCACTCAATGTTGCATCACGTGATGATGCGCCACCCATTGGTGCAACACTACTTGAGACTAACAAATGAATCTCGACATCGCAAACGGATCCAACTGCATTTGAATCCGAATGAAGATGTAACATTGGTACGTTGAACATATATCTCGTTTCATTTGCTTTTTTATATACATGTGCAACCACATATTTGCTTTCTATTAAGCCACTAAGCGTAGTACAGCCAACAATATCAAAAAAAGGAGCGCACATTTCAATAACAGAAATTAACGAATTTAAAAAAAGAAACATGGTGACCAAATATTAATTGTATTAAAATGGACTCTTCGCTTTAGTTAGTTAACTTGATTTTGCGTTGCGTTTCTTAAAATCGTTATTTAGCACATGAGAATTACCAAAAAACGTTGATCGACTTTTTTCAGATGGAAAATGAAGCAGGTGAAGCAAGTTATGGTGTACTGAAAATACAAAGTCCTGTTTTATCTACAACAGGTATTGTCATTAACTAGCTAGTTGTTTTTATTATACCGAACTAGAGATCTTAGTAGTGTATATATTTATTTATTAAAGAACAACCAACAAAACATACACCACAATCGTATGACAGTAAAGCTTACAACAGTAACTTACAATAGTGCTGCTTTAATTACAGGTTGTCACGACATGTACCAATAGCAAATAAAAATCCACAAAGTAAACATAACAATTAGATGATGTTTAATTCAAAAGCTATTTTACAACTGCAGGATATTGAGAAATGAGTAGGAATAACCAAAATCAAAAAACATTAATAATAATAAAATTAAAGATATATCAGACTGAACACATACAAGTTCAGAGTATCAGCACAAACAGCCATAGTTCAGGGCTGAAATTATTATACAAAATATTCTTAAACCTATGTACTGGATATGACACGTCAATATCATTGTGATGATCCATTGAGTGTAAAAAAATATTATAATGTATGTGTATTCTATCGATTGTCGAGAAGTGACCGAAGTTCGTTCTGAATCTTTTCACGCGAAAAGGTCGGTATCTTGAAGATCGAGCCATTTTGTATGATACATTTAGGTTTATTTGACGTTATAAATCAGGCCACTCAATATAGCTATTTAAAATTTTATATAAAAAAAAAGAATATCAGTTATCTTACGTCGGCATTCTAAGCTCAAGAGTTTGAAGTGCATTAACCATGAATTATATGATGGTAAAGGATTTATCTACCCAAATTGATAAAACAAGTGCTATAATTTTTTTTTTGTATGGATACCAAACGGCGCCTATGCACATCGTAAAATGTTCACCATATTATGGTGACCATTATAAATATCTCCCAGTCATTCAAATCGAATTCACTTAAAACTTATGCAGTATTAGGCTAAATTGTTCACGGGATTGCTTCAATGTAGCTTATATCTTATTCTTCCATATTTCGGCACTGTTATTTAAAGAAATGTTAACAATCCCGTTAATAATTAAATACCCTAACGATAATGACCATAGTAACTTTCCAAAAGTTAGGTACTTAAGTAAAATAGTTTCATTTCAATAAAATTGATAATAGTGTCGTCACTCCAATGTGATTATGTTAAACTTGTCGTTGATTTAATACATTGACTTTCATTTCAGCGGAAACGGAAAACAAATCGTTTAGTTTTGCAAATCCTTTGTATTCGCCGACGGCTCCAGCACCTGCGCCGGTGTCGCCGCCCAGCGTTTCAGAACCATCCGCTTCGCCGTCCACGCTTCGCACTCCACGACCCTCCTATAAAGTAGAAGATGTCGTCTTCGAAACGCCGGAGAGGCTGACCTCATGGAGGGCTTTCAAATGTAAGGTCACATTTGTGGTTTCATTTATAATTTAAGAGGTACCTCCATTGCCCGTGTATCGTGTTAAGACTCATGAAATTTTTCTAAAGCAGTAATTTGTACTTAGGTCAGAAGACTCGGTTTTGTCCACTGCACCCTTTTTGGCCATTTGGTTGGCCATTTTGGCAAAATTAATACCGATGCTGCTGTGATGTGTCAACGTTCACTTCCTCGTTACTCTTAAAATGACTTTTGGTCATTTATGTTATCTGCCCTACTGCTACAAATAATACAAATTTTCTTTTTAAAAAATGCTTAAAAATCCTTTTTGTCCCTGGCACTCTAAGGTGCTTGTTACTTTTTCGCTACTACAGGGCGTATTTTCATCAATGTTCATACAATTCACTGAACAGCCGAAAGAAATATTTTTACAAAATATTTAAACCTTCGATAAAGATGAAAATTTAATTACACTGACTGAACTTTTAATTACAAACTTTTTAAAATAAGTAATAAACTTATTATGAACTTATAAAATTACCTCAACCACCAGATCTATACAATAATAATAAATAAATAAATATTCGATGACATCACATCAACAAATTAAGCCCTTGTATTATGGAAATCTGAAACAACGAAGGTAACACAAAACTCAAACCCAACATTACAGAAAAGCTCATTTTCGTATCGATGAAGAATGGAGATAAAGACAACAGTAGTTTTCTAACAACAAATGCTTCTCAATCCCTCTTAACTTTCAGTTAGAGGCAATGTTCGGTTCTTTTTTATTTATAAACTTTGTAATGTTACATGGAATTCTCAGTGAGTCCTACTCATACTTGGTTTTTTGATCCGAATAAATGTGAGACTGGTTAATCTCTATAACTTAACAAATATCTTGTATGAGAATGTATTTGTGAATATTAAATACCACTGAGCTTGTTTAATAGTATTTTGGAACTGCTAACTGATTTCGTTGCTTTCTTCTTTTTCCACAAGGCGGAGTTTTAGCTCGTTGGGCAGTGGCCCGAGCTATATACCCGTATATGGTATCCATAGGATTGGTATACTTTACCACGCTCAGTCTTTACCCCGGCATCGCTTCAGAAGTACCTTCCTGTCGGCTCGGCTCTTGGATGCCTATCATATTGATGTCAGCATTCAACCTCTTCGATTTCATTGGAAAGGTAATAATTTAAGAATAAGGAATATTAAATAAAAATACTTCAAAAATCGCCAGTGCCAAGGTCCTCATATAAGATTTAAACCTATAACACACTTCGCACTCCGGGCGACTGCCTTAACCAATTGAGCTACCCGAGACCAACGGAGCTGACGGATTTTATAATCACTTTGTAAGTTTACAAACGTAAGCGTATTTTTATAAATGTTCAGGCAATTCACCTAAACAGCCGAAAGAAATTCTTTTACAGATACCAAAATGCGTTCTCATTATTATATTAAATCAATTTCGCATTAGCAATGAAAACCAGAATTCACCAGTCTCAGTTGCCTAAAATGTATGGCAAATGTCGCATATAGCTCAAAGTATGTCATACCATATACCATAAGCAAAAACAGCAACTTACATTGATCTATTATAGGCGTCACTGGATTCTAGTATTGAATAAAAATCGAAAGATTTATATATATTAATTAATTAAATAACACCTTTATCTGTCTGATGTCTGTTTATGTGTAGCAATGTGCTGTCATTCTGCTAGCAAAATGACTGTGCATTTATGATGCTTAGTTTGGGCAACCGTCGTCCACGAAGTAAAGTATAAAACCCACAAGATAATAATATAATCAACTTTTTTTTATTTACATTACAGTATTAAACATAGTTACACATTTTTAAGTTTTTTACAGCATTTGTAAACCACAAAGGTTTGTGCCAATGCTGTTTATATATCTGTACTAATTTATTAGGTTTACAACAATGTTACACACCTTCATTTTACACTTAACACAAACATGCCGCCATTTGTGGTGTGCCTCCATTTCTGAATTCTGTTTCATGCTAAGTTGTTTAAAAAGTGTTTTGAGTTTTGTTTTAATATTTGCTAATGTACTACTTATGCATGTGCTCTGTAGGTAAATAAGTCTTTTAAAATTTGGTTATTATTATGTTATAGATAGCAGCAGCATGGCCTTATGAGTGGAGTCGTAGCCAGCTACTGATGGCCAGTGGAGTGCGCTTGTTACTGGTGCCACTGCTGTTGCTCTGCGCTGCACCGAGGCACTCGCCTCATATCGTAGGTGATGTAAGTACACTATTATCCCTCTATTATTCTTTATTTTAAAAGCACATATGTTCATACGGTCATAGAATGGAATGGGTAACTCAAATATTAGCTCTTGCGTGCTTTGAAAGGCAAGTTAAGCCGTTAACTCCAGCTGCATTCTAAGTCGTTAACACCCAGCGATCCGTAGAAAAATCGATTTTCTATATTGACCTAACCGGGTATTAAACTTGAAATCAGCGTGCAAGTCCATCTATAGGGGTCGTCAAATTACTTAATCTACTTCAAACTTAAAAAAAGAGATAAATAGTACTTATCTCAAAAGCTACTTATTCAAGAAAATGCATCTGAAGTCAGGTGAGCGGAGGTCGAGACACAGAATCGAATGTAGGTTCTGTAGTATTATTTATTATTTTTCAAAGTAAGAAGTCGTTTTTATTTTTTAAAAAGAGTATTTCTTTTGTAAACGAGTATAAAAGAGTATGTTTTTAGTGATATTTACTATACTCATATTATAAAGAGGAAAGATTTGTTTGCTAGTTTGTTTGCATTGGATAGGTTCCAAAACTATTGGACCGATTTATGAAAGTCTTTCACATATGGGAAGCTACTTAATACGCGTTGGACATAGGCTATAATTTACGCAAGCGAAGTCGCGGGGACACATTTTGTTTGATAGAAATTGGTTCAAAATTCAAGAAGAAATAGATTAACATGTCTGGAAAGCAAACACGTAGTAACTTGAAAACCAAAATGGATATTTAGAGTAGAAAATCTTTATATTAAAAAAAAATATCTTATTTCCGTATAAATCGACATGATAGTTCCTTGGACTTTATACAGCCGCACTGTAAAAGGTACGTTGTGACAATTACTCAGCTGATCGACGTTTAGCTGTGTAAATTATTGGCGCCATTCTATTATAGAGCTAGCCGCCTAAATAAACGGATCTTTTACCCAGTTCCATTATATATTAACAATTTAAACTTTGAATTTTAATTTTAACAGCTATGAGTTTGAAAGTCGACCAAGCAATCATTTAATTTTTCTATACAAATATTATACATGCCAAAGTAGGTCTGTGTATATGTCAGTTAAACTCTCAGGCCTAACCCACTAAACAGAGTTGACTTGAGATAGAACATAGGTTGCTGTTATAGTGATAAATAGACTGTACAAAACTTCGTCATTGTCAAAGATAAAATCATGATCTTCTATTCTAGGTATTTTACATGATATAATGAATGTTGAAAAATGTACATTTTGAAAATGCTGCTCAAAATAATTCTAGGCAATATAAGTTGCAGGAAAGCTAGTTAGCTATAATATGTATAAAAAAAAGTATTAAATGAGTTATTTTTTTTTTTCAAGGTATATCCGATAATGTTTTCGGTAGTCCTCGGTTTCAGCAACGGATTATTTGGCTCTGTACCCATGATAATGGCACCTTCACGGGTGGGACGAGAACATAGAGAAATTGCAGGTAAAGTAAATGTTTGTTTTTTTTTAAATAGAGTATGCTTTAATTAATAAAAACTAGTTTGGAACTGTATATTGTCATTTAATGTTGTTTTAAGCATTCATATTCATTTACAAGGTACATGGTAGCAATCCCGTAGAAACAATCATTCTAATGCATATTGTCAATATCATACAAGTATATAACATTAACAATTAAATTAAGTACTTAATACACATGACTTAAACTACAAATGAATTATGCTTTGAGAATCTCTCAGTAAAAAGCCTGCAATATGCCATCTCCTTTGGAGTGAGATCGAGGAAGCCAAACCCGAGTCACCAGAAGAATCACCGTTCTTTTTCTACGTAATTCATATTATATGAAATTTGTTATGAAAATTTTACTTTTAATTTACAGGTAACATGATGACATTGTCGTACAATGGAGGTCTTCTATCGGGATCTCTCGTCTCGTATCTATTACTCAGCATGCTGGGACCACCTGCTGGGGCGCCGTGCCGCGTCTATCCCACACCGCCTCTGCCGACAATACCACCTATCACAACCACTACCAGTAACCTGACATTCTTTACTGCCTCACACTGAATTGGTAGCAAAGAGACATGTTGAAATAGTTTCCTATTATGACTGAAGTCAAATATTGTAGGGTATTATAAACCAATCCTAATTATAATTACAATCATTACAATACGATACGAACTATCATTCGAAATTTGTTAAAATAACAAATATCAAATAACAGTTCTATATTTGAAGTACCTTGAACTCTATAACCTTATTGTATTACTTGTTTTGTATAAAATAACTTCCTTAATTATTATAAATGTTATTCTTGAACTGTAATTCTTGAATAATTTACACGAGGTTTGAAGAGTACTTTCAAACCTCGTGCAAATTATTAACTAATAGTTACTAACCAGTCACTATGAACAAAGAATATTTACATCTTGGTAACAACCATAATCATATCGTTAACTTATTATATGAAACTCAGGGTCAAGAATTGACACAAACTATTAATATTACGTCCCCGAATATAATCTTGTCGCTAAGTTAATTTTCTTATGATTTTTCTCGTAATGCATGAACAACATGTTGTTTGAAATAATTTAATCACATAATATGATTATCGTAAGAAATATGTTGAAAAGTATTTAGTAAAACTGTATTTCTTTAGTGTATCCAGTGGTGTGCTCCACGTCCAAGTTGTTGGATGGAGCCAGGTTTTAAGCGGTGGGAAAAAGTTCTTGTTTTATTTTTGAGATGAATGTTTACTAACATAAAGAGATGGGAACAAGATTTATTGTGTTAGGTAGGTAAATAGCCTTACGATTGAAATCTGCCAGTAAAATTTTGTCAGGTAAGTTATTCAGATTTGAGCTTTTGCAAATATAAATCACTCAATCAGAATTATTATAAAAAGAAGACTAACTTGGCACCGTGTTTAAAAGATTATACCCACGTCTCAGTTTTTCTTTAAGCAGCCAATGGTTTAAACCAAGTGCTAACTTTAGTCCTCGTTTTATAATAGTCACGGTGGTTACAAAAAACTCGACGAAAGAAGGAGACTATTTCCTAGAAGTTTTCACAACAATCATAGCATAATATTATCCTCTATGCATAATCAATTTTGCTTCTAATCCGATGTAATCATTGTTATAGTTTGAGTTTGCTTAATAGTTCCTACAAATCAGTTGTTTTATGTATTTCTTCTGATAGGAAAAACAAACAAACGGCACCATGAATCCTCGGTTTTAAGCGGAGAATTCACGGGCATGCCCACGGGCAAGTCGACAAACATATATACCAGTTTACTGTTAATTATTTATATCTATTATTTCAGACGGGTATGTAAATTATTTTACATTTTAATTAAGACTTTGATGACTATAATCCAATGTAAATAAATCTTTGTAAATATGTCTTAACTACATATCTAGTTTGTTATCAACGTTTCTCAATTACACAAAACATTTATTAAGTTGTTAAAAATATATTCACGTGCTCTTTTGATCGAATAACAATACTTTCGGACTGGTTTTTAACCGTACATTTTGTTACGACATAATATCCTCGCGATATGTATTAAACAGCACAGTCTCGAACTCGACGTGTCACAGCATACATCTACAATGAAATAAAACCTTTTAAAGTATGTTTTATTTGATTGAACCTCTATGCTGTCACGTCGTTTATTCAACGTTAAGATTGAGGTTGTTTTCGAGGCTGAACCGAGCGTCATAAATGAACCAATATACTCCGTTATTCTAAAATAGTAAGTATCTTTAATTACTATGTGGTTTTTCTTCATTCTACCACAGAAAGCAGGTGTTTATAGTTGGTGGTATTCTATGGAGAGCCTTAATGCAAAACAAAAAAAGTAATTCCCGACCCTTCTGTCATTTATGCTACATACAGCTGTAATTGATTTAGAATTAAAAATGAATTTAATCTTAAAGGTGAAGCTATCGCACAATATGCTTGACGTATAAACTTCACTGATTACAGATCAGGTACAGCAAGTTCCGACTACATAGGTAATATGGCGCACGCACGATGATGCATCTTCGTTTGCGCATATTAGATCTACCAATTTCAACAATGACCGAAAGCCCAATCAAAATTGTAAGCGATTCGTGTGTTTACAGTTATAAGGAGTAAGAAACAAGGCAGTAGACGTTCGTTTTATTACTATTGAGCTGGAGACAAGCACGTGAATATTGGTGAATGGCCCGATGGCGTAATACTTAAATCATTTTGATTGGTAGTCATTTATCGCACTTCAAAATTTATTCTTCTTGGCAGGTTCAGAGAACCACATTAATTTTATCTTACAGTACCTACAATTAATTTAAAATATAACGGAATGTACCTGAAATTTATATCAGTAAAGTTACGCATTAGGTAGTTTTACAACGGCTCTACCGTGTAACTGAAGCACAGGTTTATCTATCAGTTTGACAGATAATTAGAGCGTCAACGAGATACGCGGTAAAGCCGGTGATCTTTGACAATATGCTCGTGTATATTTATCATTGTTTCGTCTTAAAAATTGAATATTAAATCGATTTTGTAGCAAATATTGATAGGGCAGAAGACCCGGTTTTGGCCACTTAAATTACGCATAAGCAAATAGGTTTATAACTTCACCGTGAACAGTTTTTCAAATGTTACATTACTTAGTAACGGAACGTGGTAATAAATTATAGGTTTTATTAATCTGCGAAAATAATCCGAAATATGGATATATAAAACTAGCAATGTAATAATTGAGTTCATTAATGTAACAATTTTTTAAGATTTTCTACTTACCTGTTGTATGTATTTGTTGTATATTTGTACCTAATCTTTTTTTGAGTGCAGACGATAAACCTTGTGCTATCAAAACTATACGTAATTATCTGCATTTAGTATCATAATAATACTAATGCATTTTTTTATTTAAGAACTGTAGTAATAATAAGTTATAGAATAGTTAGCCTAAAACACTCAGCAGTACCTACGCACGTCTTGTCGGTTACGGCAATAAAATTATATGAATTACCTTAAGTGTTTTTTTTTATTTCACATTTGGTATTGTCAATCTATATATATATATATATATATATCTATATCTTTTTACGAAAATTGCGAGGACGGAGGGGTATGAAATCTGGCACACTTATAGTTTATATGTAAGAGAAGAGCAAACGGCTAATATTTTTCAATAACAATGCTTATAAAGTACATTAAGTACTTAATATTTATAAAGTACAAGTATTTGATACACGCATACGTGTACTCTGTGGTCAAATTGTTTCTTTTGATATAGAGTTTGTTTTTTTCTTTTGAATATTGGCTTTGTACGGTTTGTGCATTTAGCCAGTGTCAAGTTTTATATGTTTACCATAAAGATCTATTTATATGTTTGTGATGTTTGCTGTGGTCTTACTGATGTCAAAAGATTTTCGATTTCAGTAATTTCATATACTTAGAGGAAAAATAAGTGATTTTGAGCGATAAGTACAATGCAATGCAATATACAAATGTGCTATCATTCTATATTAAACGAAAGTTCTGTAGCGGTAATCTGAATGATAAATTTTATCATACAGGTAAAAAATATATAAATCTGTTATTGCTGGTTAAAGAGCTTTTGTATTTTTTATTGTGGAGGCTAAACAAATCTTTTTCAGCGTTGGCGAAATCTGTGGTTATAGTAGGTAGTAATATAGTCTTTAACAATAGAACCTTAATAATGTTTGAACATTATATTTTAATAAATTATGTTAAAAACTTCAAATGGACGCCCACTAGTCTATAATACTAATATTATATAGGAAGGGTTTGATTGTTTGTTGGTTTATTTGCATCAAATAGGCACCGACACTACTAGATCGATTTAAAAAATTCTAAACTACATCATACGCATCTAAAATATGCTCAAGCGACGTCGCGGGAAATAGCTTCATGTGTAAGAACCTTTTTGGTTTTTCTTCATGGCTTAGTTTAATTATCGTAGTAAATAATTTTCTTTGTGTCTAAATCGAAAAAAAAAGCTAGTCTGATATAAAAAGACGGTGTTATCTCCTGCGGGCGTAGCCAAAACACTGTTCCTGTTTATCGCATTGCGCCCGGCAATGAAATAGATAGTGGTAGAAAATGACGTATATTTTTCTAATATCTGCTTATTATTCGCAAACTATTTAGATTTTTGTAAAAGTGCTTATAATTCTCTGTGCTATAAAGAGACGCACATAATTATCGAAAGGAAAAATGAGAATTTTACGTATCTTTATGGTTTTCTTCCTCCTTAGCAGGGAATAGCTATTACTGGCGGGTTTAAAATGGAAATCTTTAAATTTAGCACAATTTTATTGAATTAATATTAATTTAAGCGTGTGCACATGATCATTACTGTAATGCTTAAAATATATAGGTACATAATAATAATGTGCGTCTAAGGGTAACGTGTAAAAATAATTGTGTAATTTACATGCAAGTACTTATACTTACTAAATAAACTAAAACTATATTCTTGGTTATTCGTAGCTAATCTTAGCTATTTTTAAACAGGTCATGTGAGTCACGATGTTAAAAGTACATAAAATGAGTAGATTAATATTCCATTTAATAAAAAAAATGTGTGTTATCTTGTATCTATAAATGGTATCTATTACCTACTATAAGTTCATGTACTAACACATCATGAATGAATGTGAGGTCCCTCAATATCAAATGTCGAACATTGATCCCGAGTACTAAAACTAAGAGTGTGAACAATTTATAGTTATGTTACAATAACGCAAATTTAAATTTTATAGAACTTAAAAAAATTATCCTGATTGCCTAAATTTTATTTTAATATAATAATTACGTATTTTAAATCTTGTGTTAAAATTACAAATATCTTTTTCGTTATATACAGTTCTTAGTCAAACACATTAATTGTAAAAACACATAGTAGCGTCATCTAGCGAAAACAGATAATTGTAACATTTGTTATTTCGCCAGATTAATGATTCCCAATTAAATTGTGTTATTGGAAATACCGCAAAATTAAAAACGAAAGCTACTTTGTTAGATTAAAATCGGACAAAATTAAAGATTACAAAAATCAAATGCCCGTTTTAAAAGCACAGTAGCGTCATCTTGTGCTCAGTAGAGGCAGTGAAATGTAACATTTTCGTGTACTTAACCAATATAACATATGCATTTAATATTAGCGACCAAAATTATACTGATTATAATGATTCAAAACATTATTTAAACCGGCGTAAACAGCTTAATTCATTTAATAATGGATTTGAAAATCATTTAATAAAGGATGACATGGAATATAATTAAAATGACAAATTGAATTGTAAACAACAGCTATCAATTCAAATTCCGTGGTCACGGCCGTGGTCGTGACCGGTGTATCCTGGTCGAAAAGTCGGGAAATATAAGTAGGTGAAAAACCTATCTATCAATCTATCGCGTTAATACCCGTTTCATACAATATGATATAATGCAATGCTAAAGTTTAAAAATAAAATGATAACCTAAACTACTTCTTAAAAATATAAAAACATTAATCTTTCTACACATAACCTTCCGCTTCTAAACTTTCAGATGCATAAAAATACTATAAATTTGGAATAGAGAGATGACTGTATGCTATCTGTTTTAATAATTATAAGAATAAAATAAAATCATTATAAAATTAATCAATAATTTCTTTTAACAAAATATATCAGTTACTTTAAAGTATTCGGTATTCAGCTGAATAGTATAATATGTCCATATTCGGTTTTTGGGCCGAATATAACAAAAGCTGCCGAAAAGGCCAAATACCGAATACTACCCGAATAGTCGTTGCAATTCTGTTATCAGTTTTAGTAGATTTGGCATTGCTAAACTAGGTCACATTTGTCGCACACGAGTAATTGATGATTAGCATTCAATTACTTTGCGATATCTTAAATTCAGAAATCATTGAACTCGCATTAGTATAAAATTGTTAAGGAGCTCAATGACTCAATGGTTATCCCGTAAGGTCTGTGATGCAAAGCTTCTCCATCCTTCGAAAGACGGCCACTAGTTCGCATTACGTTCGCCTGATGAGTTAAGGTCCATACCATATATGCACTCCATCGATAAGGAAGGTATGTAGCCCAGCATTGGCGACATTAATAAGCAGACGTAAACGAGGGGAAATCTTGAGCTTTGTCGATTTATTGATAGAGTCAGACGCAGAATTTAACATATAGCACTCTCCAGTTTGAAAATAGTTCACATATTGATTAGTTCCTTTAAACCCTCGGTTGAAAATAAGAGGTAAATGAAAGGAATTTTCAAACGAATGATAGATTCTGTGCGTGGTGTTCACGTTTTCTTGTAAACAACTCTAACATTCCTTTCCTTCAGCCTCCTTCTGCACCGTCGATGAGTATAGATGTTATTGAGTTTTGAATTTAAAGCACAGCAGTTACATTCGACAACTAGGTATTCGCGTTAAGTAAATACATTATTTTATTTATCTTAAACTTTGGTATGATTCTTCCTACATTCCTAAAATTCCACAAATGGTAGACTCTTCTATTCAATGAACTCTTATTGTTGAGAAGTTCTTTATCTTGCAACTCTAATGCATTCTGCTAGAACGTGAGTGCTAGTCGCTACCTTCTCCAAGCACACTTTGCATAGAATGCTCATTTATATTTGTGAAATGACACGAATGAAAGAGTCCGGTTTGTCGTAACTGTCTCTACTCTCTCTACCTTGGTATTGCTACAATATTACATACTACTACTTTTACATTATAATATTACATAAAATATAATATGAAAAAAAGAATTAATCGCTTGAATAAATATATTTTTGCTACGAACACCGATTGCTACGAGCTCGCCGGTCGTTACATTTGTAGCAAAGAAAATATAAATTCAATTTATGGATATTTTCTACAATACAAAAATTTATCAACCTATATTAACCATGTAGCTATGTCAGTACCCAAAAGACAAAAATGTTATTATGACCGGCAATGAGATAGATAAGGACAGGGGATGGCAAATTCCGTTGTCTATACGATGAGAACTTTTTAACGACACAACGGATTTTACAGAGTGATTCAAGATGAAAATACTATATATAATACAGGACGACGCGGACGTAGCTGCTTGCAGAAAGCTAGTATATAATATACTTTTCTCATCTTTGACAGCTAATTGGACTTTATTTCTTTGTAGATAAGCAATCTAATGGTAGTTTGTGTATGCTCTTAAAATCTGAAAATATAAATTACGTAATACTTAGTATGTCGCAAATATTCTATTGGGCATAAAGATGGAATCAAATATTGCTAAATCTTCGTTGTTTATAATATCTCAAACGTTACTCTGAATGTTTAAATGAACTTTGTGCCAAATTATAAGCGGATAGTCCGATCGTTATGTAGGCTCATTAATAATTAATGATTATTCATAAATGAACAGACAGATAAGCTTAAACATCTAATGGAGATAAATAAACGTTATGATGAAAGAAACGATGCCTTTTAGGATTTTAATTCGTAATTCTATACAAAATACCAAAAAAATATATATATTTCTTGTATGTATGTCTTCGTTCAAGTATACTCGAATAATAACAACAGCAGTTTCCAAGAATGTTGTAAGGTCTTTGGTGATTTAAAAGAGGCACTACACATTTACCTATTACGGAGGATAAAATAACGCTTTCAGCTTTACCTTTAAATATCGAGATTAAGGTTTATAAGAAGTTATTGAAATCCTTAATCTTCGGGTAGGTAGGTAGAATAATTTAGTATTCCTACGAAATAAAATCTATAAAGTAAAACATAATAAAAATTACAGCATAAAACGCCTGTTTAAAATGTTAATTTTTAATTTTACTATCGCTATTTCCATTGAAAATAAATAGTAAAATTTCATCAAAATCAGCCAGAGTGAAGTCCCGGTTCGCGCTGTGATGCCGCCGCCATTGAATAAATTGATTTATTTTCATCAAAATTTTGTGCGGAACCATGTTGCTCTATAAAACTTACTTCGTCTTGACTAGTACATTTTGTGATGTTTACATCTTCACTACTTCAGTAGGTATTTCATTATTTGGAAACGTATTTTGTGTTATAGTGGACACATTCTTTTTAGCAATACAATGTCTAGAATTTTAATTACTTGAATTAGGTATACCGACATCTTTATGAACTGCATTAAAAAAAAAACTGATATTGTTGCTGAATTTTGCATTTCACTCCACCTGTTCTTTTTTGTGATCTCCAGGAATTAATTCATCATAATATCAAAAAATATATAATATGGTTGGCCCACTCGTATATTTTAGCATCTGTTAATATTTAGTCTTAGAACAAGAAAAAAATGTTACTTCATTAAAACAAAGTTAAATAAAAATACTATCCATTCCGATTAAGACTAGTAAAACACATATAGGTACACAAAATTTCAGATACCCACAATCAATTTAGGACTTAAAAGTCTGCCAATTATGGTTGAGGTTAAATTGAAGAAATATGACAATTTTGGATAACCTCATGACTTTTTGATAAAGTCAAATACGACTTCGCAGAAAATAAAAGAAATGTTAAAATTACTAGTACTCAACAAGTAATAAGTATTGACAATTTTCCCGGAAGTAACTGGTTCTATTTTTTTAAATAAAAAGAAGTAAGCATTTTTAATAATTTATTTCATTACTTTTACTTATACAAGTAAGATCAATGTACACAATCTTGGGGCTCTACATACAGCAGCATGAGTGTCTCTGCGTAGACGCAACATCAGATTTTCTAAACACAATGTCGTCTACCGACACTCAAGAGTTTAAGAGAAGTCGTATTGACCACAATACATTTTTGTCGCCGACTACCTCTTGCGCCTCCGCATGCAAGACCGGTGCGATGACCTCGAACTCCACTCGAGACTAAGGTCACTGGACGACGTCGCGCTTTCTGGAAACTGAGCGTCAGATGTCCAACGACAGGACGCACACGCCGCTTTAGGAGACTCCGGAGGCTTAGTGTTTCCGCCACCGGGACAGTAAGCGTCCAATATATGTTTATAAGCGCACTCCACTGGTCCCGTGTCGCGTCCTCTAGCGGCGTCTAGGCGCGACCGTACACATGCATTGCAGTAACCGCAGATATCACCGCGAAATACACTCTTAACCATCTTGAATAAAATTTATGAACAGTCCGTATCGTAGCACACGTTGAACACTAATAAATGTGAATAATATGCGCGCGTGATATTTATGCGATTGTCACCGTGTTAACTGGCGTCGCGCACGCGCCTCGAGATAACCCCAGGTTAGGCGCCAGTTGTCGACCATTTTAACTCTAATGGGTGACAATACAGTATAATTACGAATAATTTTATACTTTATCATTCATTATAGTTGTGTTAGAAATGCAATTAAAAGACTACTTTTAAGGGCTGATAAGAATATTTGGATAGGAACTATCGAGGATACGGCAAGCGATACATATCTTACAAGTATTTGTTATCATAAGTATTATTAATTTGTATTACTATTTCATCATACAGTGTTTTTAAAAATAAGAATAAAGCTGAATCACTAAAAAACACAAACAGTTAAGCAATGAATTAATCATATATAAATAAATACGTAAATGTTTTATTGTGCTAAAACTGTTGCCTACTAAGTATATCTAACTACATAGACTACATGATAATTTACTTAGTACTTTGAGGATAAATATTCCTGAAATATAATGTAATATAGTAAGTAAGATACCTATATAGATTTTGAGTGAACGAAGTACCTATATTGATTTTAAAGAAAATTACTAGAACAGTATAGATTTATAATGTAAATGGACTGCATATAACAGGTTCATAAGTCAATTTCATTAAGTTAATGACCATTCAACTTCTTGTTGATAATTCTGTCAAATGCAACGCAATTCTGGTGTTCTCTAGATATTGTAATTAGTATTGCTCTAGATAGTAACCAGTTAACACTAGTTTCCCAACCTCAATCACCACTGCAGTATTATGTAAATAGCTAGCTACATACTTTTATCGGGATTTTTATCCGTTTGTAAATATATTGTAAAGTACGCACATTATTTAAAGTTTGCTGTTAGTATAAATGTATGCTGTCAGTACATATCTGGCAGTTCTTTTATAAATTCAGGCTTTACCATGTTTATGCTACAGCAATTTATGCTCTAAGTCGCTGTGTCTTGCAATTTTAAGCAGGATTTTAAGTTTTTCTAAAGCAGAATAGAATGGCATACAAGGTAAAAAAAAAGGCCAACAGGAAAACGGAAAAGTTAAATAAATAACTGTCTATTGACTACAGTCAAATATAACGCCATAAATAGGCCCGAGTTTCCTTTTTTCTCTACGAGAGCTATTCTTCTTGAGCTCTCAGAAGCTTAAAAACCTGCGATACGAGTAATCTTAATTACTAACTATGTACCATTACCTACTTTTCAACCGCAAAATAATGTTAATAACCAGTAAGTAAAGTAAACACTACAACCTTTTCTAGACCGTGATTCTTTGTACCTAGTCGGGTATTCGTTTTGAAATTATATTTAATTAACAATTTTTAAATCATTATTGTTAATTTAAATAATCAGCTAAAATAAATGGGTAAACATTTACACATTCTAAAAGGTTTTGCAATTTTCAGTAAGATATATGGATGGATTAAAGTAGATTCAATATTATTTATAACAGGATAGACATTCATTGAAGTGCCAGCTTAGTTCGCAATGAACTACACTAAACGCGGCTCTCTTGCGTTTGCATCGTATTTAAAACCCCTATCTACAATTATATAACTCCAGGACCAGTTAAGTTATTCTGTCAAAAAATATATATGATATTATCAAGTTAATTGTCTACTCAAACACCATTATGCAGAAATTAATAAAATCGTTGAGCTTTAGAATATATTATGTAGCTTTTAAATTTTGTCTATTAGTTTTTGTTTGTGTATTGTCCGCGTCTCTAAAGTACCTGAGATAGGTGATTGTTGAACCCGGGCAAAGTCTAAGCGGACAATGATAAAAGTATGACTTAGGTCATTTATCTACAGTACTATATGTTATTAAAATACATCACAGAGCTCTAATGAAATAAAACATTTATTATCTTTTGAGAAGCTTGATGGCTCAGTGGTTAACACGCGTGCAAGGGGTGTTTATAGAATGGGTGACCAAAAAGTTATCATCTCGAGCTCCTCTATGCTTCGGTAGGCTGCGATACGGTTGTTAAGCAACTTTTGCAAGGGGTGGTTATAGAATGGGTGACCAAAAAGTTATCATCTCGAGCTCCTCCATGTTTCGGTAGGCAGGTTGACCCATTGGTCCCGGCTGCATCTGCAGTCGTCAATACCCACCAACCCACAATGGGCCATGGCCTTCTTCCCTATTCGATTTTATTCGATTTCATCCATAGGGAAGGCCCCAGCAGTGGTAATTTTAAACGACTTGAGGTGCGGTGATGTCTACCTTTTGAAGAACGTTTTATTTGATTACTACCATGCTATGATAACGTTACACTCGACTTCGAGTTCGAGGCTGCTTTTAATAACAGAATAGCATTGCAGATGCTATAAAATAAGCTAAGTCATACTTTCATAGTCCGCCAACATTTTTCCCGGGTTCGGTACCAATATCCATAAAAAAGTAAAAAAAAATGTTTTCAATGGAGTTGTTCGAAATTAAATACTATTGGTCTACCTGATAACTGTGGTCTAACTGTGATAGTTTTCCTTTTAACTTTGATATACATATATATGTAGGCACTACTGCCGTAACGTTTGAATTTTCACCAACAACCGTTTGGTAGTGGAGTGACACTTAAATCTATCGAAAATTTGAGGGAGGTAACCTACAATTTTTTTTTCGAAATTTCGATCAAAACCGTGTACAGACGGACAGACGGACAAGCGAAACTATAAAAGTTCCTTGTTTATGGAACCTTAATAAAAAATGGGAAAGCTACATTTATTTACTTTATTAAAAAAAAATACAAAGCTACTTCTAAAGTTCAAGCTTTCGAAGCATCTTCAAAGATCCTTCAAAGTCTGCTGAACCAGATTTATTGCCAGCTATCTTCCCCATAAATTGCGCTAAAACCATTGCTATTCCAATTTCTATCTTTTCAATAGATCTTAGACAGAGGGCATTAGTCAAAATGTATTGTAGCAAGCATATATTACACCAGAGCATAAAAAGGATCTAGATCAGATATTACTAACTACCGTTCCATCTCTAAGCTCTGTGTTGTATCTAAGGTCTGGAAAAAGTTATTAACGAGCAGCTTTATTCTGCATTGAAACAATCGTTTAGCCCAACACAGCATGGTTTCCTAAGAGGCCGCTCTATTGTGTCTAATTTGGTCTTGCTCAATGAGTCTCTTACTATTGCCTTGGATAATGGCTTTCAGGTCGATGTAATCTACACCGATTAGAGTAAGGCATTCGACCGAATTCAGCATGACATGCTTTTAAACAAAGAATTAATTATCGGTGTGGGTGGCGATATATTGCGATGGTAATTATTAATAATCGCTCACAGTACAGGCAGTCGTGGTGAAAAATTATATATTTGGTTGGCTTTCAGTTCCCAGTAGAGTTCCTCAGGGCAAGTAGGGATTGCCACTCTTGTTTGCTGTTTTCAATGTTCACAACTTTTATGTTTTGCGGATGATATGAAAATATTTGCGCCTATTTCGTCGTTAGAGAGCGCACTTTCACTGCAAAATAATCTTGTGACACTTGACAATTATTTAGACTAAAAAACAAGTAATTATTTAGACTAAAATACAGCCAAATGTAATATTGTCAAGTATAGATGGAAGCGGAATCTGATATTGTGTGATTATGTGGTGAGAAATTCAAGGCTGAAACGAGATACGGTTGTGAGATATCTTGGCGTGTTTCATGACCATAAGTTGCTATATCGATAACATCATTTCAAAGGCCTCCAGAGCTCTTTAATTTGTTATGCGTAACTCAAAATACTTCACTCAGACTAAGACACTAAATATCCTTTATTGCGCATTCGTCCAAAGTCACCTGGAGTACGCGTCGCTGATATATCGCGGATCGAGAAAATACAAATGAGATTCATTAAGTATCTCTGCTTCCGCACCAAACATCGCTTCGAGGAACTTTGTAAGATGCATCACTTTCCCCTTTAGTGAATCGGCGAGAAATTACTGATTTGGTTTTTCTTGCAAAAATTGCTTGTGGTGCTGTGGATTGTTCTAAACTCCTGTCAAAGGTTACTTTTAGAGCCCCACAAAATCAACTCAGGTTCAACACCTTGTTATATCTAACCCTTGCGTCTTCAAACTTTGGGCAGAATTCATTCATTTGGCGGGCGTGTTTCGTGGATCGTGAATTAAATCGTGGATTAAACGAACTATCAAAGCGATTAAATGTTGACCTTTTTAACACTAGCGAAGCGTCGATTAAGGGTGTTTTTGGTTACTTATTTTTTTTATTAAGTAGTATTTCTGATTAGAATATAAATATGTCATTATACTTTTATATGTATTTATTATTAATATATCACTCCGTACGCAGCGTAGTTTACATCTATCTATACTTATAATAAATCTGTAGAGAGGTCAATTCTGTACATGAAATATATTTCCAAAATAACTATCAGTGGGTGATTAGGGTTCGATACTGATGCCAAAAATGCAATCAGTAAATTTTTTGTCTGTCTGTCTGTATAAGCGTTATAGAAACAAACTACTCGACGGATTTTAACGAAAGTTGGTACAATTATTTTTCATATTCCTGAGCTGGTTATACTACAATCAATACTTTTCATCACGCTACAATCAATAGGAGCAGAGCAGTGAAGGGAAATGTTGGGAAAACGGAAGAAGTTACTCAATTTTTTAAGCTTCCGTCACGTGTGCAACCTTAATGGTTAAATCTACCCAGAAATCATGTATTACGGAAGTGTTCTCCTTAAAATTATATAAAAAATATCCCACGACAGCATATGTCTATCTTTTTATGGTTGACTCACAATAACACGTGTAACTCCCGATAGCTTAGCAGTTCGAAGCTTTCTGATTGTATTTGTCTATTGTCTACTCTTACGTTTATAACACTCTAAGTCATCCCTTATTAAAAAAGTTAACAGTATTAAGTATTCCATAAAAAAGAATCA